CCCAAGGAACGGAGCATGAGTCGAAGAGTCTGAGTCCAGATATTTAGTCTTGGTGATGCCCTCGATCTTCCCACTCGAAAGGACTCTCCATATCTTCCCCATACTCATCTTGGCTTATTACAAGTTCCCCAGACTTACTCACATCTATTCAGGGTCGACAATACTTGACTAAAGTTAGTCCCCAGCCAACAACGACTTATAAAAAAGTTACCTGCCTACCACTTATACACAAACGAAACACCAACGACCACGATCAACGGTTCAATTTGTATTTCTACAAGATCATTCAGACCAATTGATATCCCAGTCGCTTGCTCTTCACTTTCCGAAAGATTTCGAGGAAAAGAAAATAGACTGGTACAGCCGACACTCAAATTCTTCCCACCATCTCGGAACAGGTTTGAGTCTACTTCAGCGCCATCGATCGTCATTACCGACTTTTCATCTACGCCCTTCGCAACATTGATTGAGTCAGAAGACTTTGCTGTCCCTGGCCATCTCCTGCCTTATTACACCACTACGGGCGTCGACAGTTATTCCCGGCATTACATCACACTGAAGAGTTTTTGCGAAAACTCGTTCACGCCTTGTGCTATTTTAGCCGCCAACCCCCACCATCTAAATCCGTATAGAAGAGCGTCTTACAAAAGTATCGCTCATGACCGCAGCCATGCCCCACCGCGTGGCTAACTTCATTCGCACCTCATCTGGCAACATTGCTCAGATCAAGAAGGTTGCTCGATCACGAACAAACAGCCCCTACACATCAGACGGCGAGGACCGCCCTCAAATTCACGCTGTCAAGATGGCTGAACTCGCTGATGCTGTCAAGAAGCATCACCGCATTTCTCTGCCTTTCGGCAAGTCCCACAAGGATCACGCATCGGATGTTTCCATCGACTGGAGCATTGAGAGCCCACCAGTAGTCTTCCACGGCAACACCGAGGAGAGCACTGGTGCTCTCATTACTGGACAGATGTTTTTGGATGTTAAGGAGGATATTGTTGAGGTTGGAAGCTTTGCTGCTTCCCTCAAGCTCCACGTTTACCAGAAGAGGCCCTACCAGAGCCACTGCACAGACTGCCAGAACCAGTACACTGAGCTCAAGAGCTGGCAATTCCTGGCTCAGCCTACCACCCTCCGCAAGGGTCGTCACCCATTCCCTTTCTCTATCCTCCTCGATGGTCACCTTCCCGCTACCATGGACACTCCCGTTGTTGCTATCTCTTATGAGTTCAAGGCCGACGCCTACGTGACAAAGAGCATTCACTCCTCCAGCGGCTCTGTCACACCTATCCGATTCGAGCGAACTGTCCCTGTGAAGCGATCTCTCCCCGAAAACGAAATTCCTCACCACTCTGTCCGCGTCTTCCCTCCCACCAACATCAAGGCCAGCGCTCACTACAACAACATTATCCACCCTACTGGCACCAACACCGTCAGCCTGCGACTGGATGGCCTTATGAGCCGCAACGAGAAGGCCAAGACTATTGACTTCTGGCGACTCAAGAAGGTTACCTGGAGACTCGAGGAGACTATCAAGTCTCAGGCCCCTGCTTGCGAGCGACACGCTCCAGCTGCTACCCAGGATAGCGAGAAGAAGAGCCTCCCCCGTCAAGAGGTCCGCGTCCTGGGCGAGAAGCACCTCCACGATGGCTGGAAGTCTGACTTCACGGGTACTGATGGCAATGTTGAGTTGGAATTCGACTACTTCGCCAACCAGTACAAGTCTCACACCAAGGAGCTCAAGTACGCTTGCGATACTAAGTCTCTGGAAGGTGTTGAGGTGACACACTCTCTTCTCATTGAGCTTGTTGTCTCTCGAGAATATGCTCCCGAAGGCAAGCCTCAACTAGCTACCCAGACCGGCACCGGCCGCATCCTCCGTATGCACTACGGTGTTGTCATGACTGCCCACGCCGGTATGGGTGTCAGCTGGGACAACGAAGCTCCTCCCGTCTACCAAGATGTGCCTCCTAGCCCCCCCGCCTACCCTGCTATCGAATCCCCCATCCAATACGACAGCCTCGAGCACATCGACGCCCACCGACTCAGCAGCCTTTCAAACTCCCCTCTTGTTCTCTCAGAAGATGAAGGACAATGATCCTACTGAGATGAACGATTTTGCTTTCTTGCTTAATATTTGCGATTAATTTTCTTTGTCACCAACTGCATGAGACACGCGGCGATCCGATTTGCACAAAAGAAGATACCCCAGAAGCGTTGAAAGGAAGACTACAGTTGCTTCCACTTATACTACTACTATTTTTGTTTTCTACAAAGAAGAAAGGGAATACAGCACATATGGGAAATGACCTTTTGAATTGGAGTTTTGGAGTACAAAAAGTTACAAATGAATTGAAGATGAAAGGGACAGAAGAGCCCTACTGTGTTGTACAGCTATCAAAGCTTCTGTATCTAGCTAGTTATGAATGAATGCCGGCCGCTCAAGAAGCAGGCTCGAAAAGACATCTAATAATGAACTATTCAACTCTCAAATCTGGACCTTTAGTGATTTTGTTTTGCTTAATGTTGTCATCATAAGATTGACTTTGCTGTACCATGATGATTGTGTAACATCATTATGATCTGATGCAACCTCTGGACCCCAGTCTACTGACCCAACTTATGACAGTCCAGTCCAGTTTATTCTTCCAATTTATTCTAATTTTCAGTTTTGTCAATGACGGCCTCCAGACACCATCAAAGTATGCTCTTTCCTCTCTTTGCAGAATATTTAGTCAAGCATGAGGCATCTGGGGTAAGTTACCGACGCCACTCAAAGTAACATCTTAGCACAACAGTCCCGCCTAATAAGCAGTCAGCTCTGGGGTGATCGCGAGCGGGAAGATCAATCTAGACTCTGTGTAACAAAGCACCCAGCCATATATGGAAATTCGTGCAGCGCCTCTTTTGTGGTGTTGATGCTTGATAGGAATGTAGTTGTGCAGCATCACGCGATGCAAGTCCTACAAAACCACGACTTTGCAGTATCACTTGATGCAAGTCCCCGGATTTAGTATTTGATCTAAGGAGGAGTGTACCAGCCCATTAGAGCTGTTGTCAAACAAGATATGCATTGCCGGTAATAGCGTGCGGCTCCGGATATTGGATCCGATAAGCTTTCCCACTTTGCATGCGCATAGATCACTCACTGCCGTAGTGTATGTTCAGAAATAGAATGTCCACTTGGAAATATATATCCGTAGGGGCGTGCAGAAATTGTCTCGGCTGGTAAATATGAGGTTGAAGAGGTGCCGGTCTCGTGATCGGTGTTTTGGGGGAGTAGCACGGTGATGAGTTTTAAATTGCACAAGTTTTCGCGATGGCCGGGGTCGAAGAAGGGGTTTCGGTCTATGGGTATCTCAGATTGTTCCACGAATCGATCGAGGTTGGACACGTGCTATGAAGAGGTGACCGACTATCTTGATGATGGTTGATCTGTGCTCATTTTACCTGGGAGAAGGTTACCGAGCGTCGTCGACGTGACCATTGTACGCATCGCGCACTCCGGGCTCAAAGACACTGAGAAGAAGTCATCGTCCTCGAACCCTCATCTAATAGAGAAACTTCGATGTTGTCCTGGATCTGGGTAGGAAGAAGGAAGACTCATGTGAAGCTGTTGGGCTCAACACAGGATCTTCTAACTACATCAACGACTCAAACATGGATTATTACGCGAGACGGGAGATTCCTTATGCATGCCCAGCTCTAAGGTGTCATTCGCATTCTAGAACGAGTGGGTTCTAGTGATATTTTCCGAAACACACCGAGAGATCTCCAGTGGAGCAAGCTTTGTTGTGTTCTTGATCAGGAAAGACAAGAGATGTAATGCTACGTAAGAGTTGTGCTTCGTCATGTTTTTGGGAGTTAATGTGATGGTGTAGAATCCAATTGCATGATCAGTCTGTGTTGTGTGTCATATTGAAGTTCATGAGACAACTAGACTTGATGATAATCTTCTACCACACAATGACAATATGAGTGGATGAATCCCCTATACGTGTAGAGCAATTCTTCACTTGGGAATATGGTATAACTATAGTAAGGTGTTTAGGATCATTAGAGGTAAGAAGTATCTCTTGATGCCAAGCTCTTGATAAGAATGTCTCGCGATAAGTTACCCCAGATTTTGGCAGTTGGTGTTTACTTGATCAGGAGTGTGGATCCTCAAATAGCTCCTTGTGATTGACGGGCCGTAACCGGCATCATTATCAGGAACAAGATAAGAGTCACTCTCTTTGAAAGGAGTACCCGAGATAAGACATTCCGCAGTCATCTTGTATTCTGTTTCGGTTTCTATCATTTCTGTCACTGTTCTTGTTTCTTCTGTTCCTATAGAGACATTAAGGTCATTGCTCAGGAGTAAATCACAAGACTTTAAAATTTTTCTAGCCTGTCGACTAAACTTGCCCGATTCCAACCGCGGATGATCCACCGAATAAGATAGGATACCCAGGATACGATGGCTTCAAGGACCCGTCAACTCCCGCGAGATTGGGGTTCATTTCAAGGAATCTGGGGGAAGCTACGGATAGACTATGATTATCATGCAGCTGTTGTTTATTATTACTCGGAACATGTCCGAAACGGTGCCTGAGGCTAGGGGTGGTCACCTGGATGGATGGGGAGTTTCCGGCTCAAGGGAAGTGGATAGCCTGAGACCGACCGGGACTCCATAGTTTAGTTAAGCTCCAGTATCTATGAGTAACACTTAGCTCGTTCTTACCCCGGATTTCGGCTTCTCCATGTTACTCATAAACCTCGACTCTTCCTCTTCTTTCCTTTTGCTTTTCTACATCAATTCAATTCAATTCAATCACTCAATCCTAGAATGAATTAAATACTATCGACTTTTATCAATACCTATATCGCTTACACATATAACCCTCGCTAAACATACCGGAATGGCCCAATCCTCAAAACCACTAATGGAAACAAGAAATACCTTCACCGAAAGAAGACAAAGACGATAACCCGCCGCATCAACCAAAAAGAAAATGGCTACTTGCAGTCTCAAATCGCTACGGCGACCTTCTCTCACTCTCATCTCTGGAGCGAAAAAGAGATCATTTCGCTACAATGGCATCATCTCAAAAGCTGCTTCTCGCGGCTTAGCCACCGTCACCGCTCAAACGACCCAAGCTCCACCGCCCATGGTCATGGAAGACCACAATACTAGACTCATCAACATGGGCTTCAACTACAACTACATCGAACATGTCGAGAACCTCGAACAGTATTGTCATGGCGGGTTTCATCCTGTTGCACTAGGTGAAACTATCAAGGATCGCTATCTTATTCTCAATAAGCTTGGCCATGGGGGTTATTCTACCGTCTGGCTCTCGTGGGATATTTTGAAACAGAAATATGCTGCATTAAAGATTGTGCTAGCGGACTTTGGCGAGGATTCTACAGAGGTTGATGTTTTGAATCAGCTTGAGACAAAAGCTGGCAAGAACCATCCTGCGAGGAATCTTATTCGTCATGTCACGGATAACTTCCACTTTGATGGACCGAATGGAAGACACACATGCTTGGTTAACGACCCGGCTATGATGTCGCTGAGACTTGCAAAGGATACATCGCTCTCAAGACTGTTTCAACCAAGGACGGCCCGAGCTATTGCTGCACAGGTTGTTCAATCAGTGGCTTATCTTCATCAAGGCGGTGTGGTGCACGGTGATCTCCACCTTGACAACATCCTGTTACAACTCCCGGAGCGAATCAGACAGCTATCCCCGGATCAACTGCATGAAAGACATAGTCATCCTACTACTGTCCCTGTCACAAGACTTGACGGTCTTCCCCTTGATGACAATGCACCACGTAACGCTGTGCTGCCAATATGGTTAGGTCAAAAGAGTGAAGATGTCGCTCTTGCAGATGCAAAGATCCTTCTTGGTGACTTTGGCGAGTCTTATCTCCCCAGTCAAGAGAAGCGTCAATACTCCAATGCACCCATCCGGTACCGCGCTCCCGAGACACAGTTCCCTGATGTCTGCCAGTCTCTTTCTTTTAGCTCCGATATCTGGAGTCTAGGCTGTCTCCTCTGGAACGTCGTAGGTCAACAGCCCCTCTTTGACGCCTGGACCCTTTCTGAAGACGACATTCTTCAAGATCAGATCGATCTTCTCGGCGAAATCCCAGAAGAATGGTCGGCATATGGCTCCAAGCCCTCACAGTACTGGGTTGAAGACGTAGCAGAAGACATCAACTCACTACAGAAGCCCAACGGCAACACATGGGAAACCCGCTTTGAGCGATGTATCCAAAAGTCCCGTAAAGAAAGCAACATGAAGCCCATGTCCAAGGACGAAAAGGCTGCGTTCATCGATATGATGAAGAGTATTATGACGTTCAGGCCTGAAGATCGTGTTACAGCGAAGGAGCTGATGGAGTGCAAGTGGATGAAGCAGTGGGCTTTGCCCGAGTTGAAGAAACTCGCATGATATTGTTTGAGATTTGTGAATTTAGCGAGTTTGGGTGGGCAAAAAAGGTGTTTGGGTTTAGGAATAGTAATTTATGATATATGACTTATTTGCTGCTTGTTCCTGAATGTGATGCCTGGTTTTGTGAAGGCGATTGTATTTGTCTGACTGTTGACTTTTGTTTTATTAATATTTTTTCCATGATTGTGTCTTGTTGTGTTGAGATACTTACTGGCAAGCTATATGCAAGCAGACAACCATGAAGCTGTATCGCGTTAACTGATGATATATGGAACATCTCTCTTTTCCGTGCACATTTCGTTATAAAGAGTTGGGGGCGAGCGGCACTTTTTGCTGAAAACACCACCTCCTCCCAAGGATTCACAGATATTGCGAAATGCCGAGAAGCATATATATATATAACATATATTTGTAAGAAGCTCAGGGGTGACAGATACGGGGTTTTGCAGACGAGCTATCTTCTTCATCTTCTCCTTAGCAACTACACTCGCTTTGATGAAGATGAACCTATCGTGTCTTGACATTCACCAAGATGGAAATATCACACCTGAAGGCGAGCGTCGGGCAGAATTGGTGCCCCTGGTTTGAAGCGTTTACATACATCTTACACGTATACCAAGAACTCCACGACGCATTCGTCAAATCTCTCATGACATCCTTTATATGTGCCTAGCCGCCGTCCATCGCCGCTGAGAACATTGGAGCTGCCACGGCATATTGTTGTAATGCAGAGCGCGGCTACACATGAAGCAGATTCTGCTAATAGCCAATATCGTCCTTCACAAAGCCGTTCCTCGTCTCGATCATCAGGTGGCCTAACCTCACTGCTTTGCAGTTCACACGATCTCTCTAGATGGCAGTCAGCACGATAATTCCGCTATCGATACAACCTACAATAGCTTCCAGAGCAAAGATTCACATCAACTTCTGAACCAGACTGCCAGATGATTCTGAGATTGGTTATTAAGGAAGGAAGCTTTTTTTCGTATCTCAATTAAAATAATTTTCCGAACAAACCGTTCCGTTAAACGCAGATTTCACCTCAGTAGCTTAACCCCACTTCATACCATCGTCATCATCCTTGAAGATTCTCAAAATCGCCGCAGCAACTGCATCTCCATCATGTTCTAAATCCGCCGTCTCAGCAGCCTTATCCGCATGCTCAAGATCCTTGATACCACCACTATCAATGCGCATCTGAATCTGTCTCTTGACCATGTCCTCGTCAAAGGCCAAGTGTGCTTGCGAAGTGAATAGTCTGTTGGGAATGTACAAGCCTTGGATAGAGGTGTGTTCGCTCTTACCCCAGACGTGAATGTCTGTGTCTTCTGGGAGGAGGCCCTTGGCTGACTCGATAGTAGGGGCCTCGAGGACTTGGTCTTGATGCATTTGGTGAAGGTAGACCTTGTCCTCGTGGAGTCGGAAAAGGCGCTTGCCGACTGGTGTGAGGGTAATGGCGTTGTGGCCTAGCTCCCAGTCGTTTGAGGGCGAAGGGCCAACCTTGCCGCCTAGCAGGCGATTGAGGATTTGGTGACCAAAGCACACTCCCGTAAAGTGAAATTCAGGTCTCTTGGTCCATAATTCTAGTAAATAAATTATCATTGAGCTTTATAGACTTCAATTGATGTTGGTACTTACGCTTCAACATGTCCATTAGATCGTGAATCCACTGGTTATCGCCATGCGCGTCATACATGCTGCCCGTAATGAGCAACCCATCGTAATCGTCAAACTCGTCGACTTTGGGGATACGTCCACCTTCTTCCGTGACGACGAAGACCTGTTCAGTCTCGACGCCCACAGGAGGATGATGGTTCTCACCCGCTTTGGAGAAATGATGGTGTAGAATCTGACCGAAAGAACCACGCTCGTACTGGGTATCGGGGTGAGGAGTATCAGTCTCAAGAACAAAAATCTTGACGACGTGAGAGTCGATGGTGGGCTTGTAGTGTTGACCCATGCTGTTGGTAGTTGTATAGAATTTCTTTGGTGTTGGTGAAAGAAAAGGCAAGGGAGTAATTGCGCGGCGAGAGGTGCTGTAAGTTCTGGAAGGAGGTGTTGTAGTTGTAGTTGCAGCGAAACAAGGAAGCTGCGAGGCACCGAGTGATCTATTTAAACGGCAAGAACGAATACCAGTTCTGATCATCTTTTTACAATATTCTAATAGGTGAATTTGTGTAGAAGCACAGCAAGTAGAAGCAGGGATTGCATATGCAGGTTCTTTATTGGATCTTGGCGAAACGTTTTAGGATTTGACGTCAGCGAAGTTTTCTATTACGGATACTTTGCTCCAAGTTGCGTTTGACTCAAAATGCCAAGATCATGATGACGGCAACGGGTCAAGGAATGAGTGGGTTGAGAATTCGCCTTTTTTGAGGGTTTCCGGTATTTCAGACTAATTACCAGTACTGTACGGATATGTTCCTGTAAATCAGGGGATCTAAACAAGGATGTGCAAGTCAATGGATGCTCATTGCCCCAATGGGAGAGAAATAGATTTACCAATTGAGAGGATGAATTGGAATAATGGAGGGGTTGCAACGTAACCCACCCCTTGGCATTACATGACATGACACTCGACAAAAAAGAAGCATATTCACAACCATAATCAATAAACATGCTAGTCTAACTAAATTAGATTACAACTTGCTAACCTCTTCTGATCCCCAGTAAAATGTACTAATCTCAACCCCAACATACTCATCACTATACTTCATAGTCTCCTCCCCATCCATCGCCGCCCCCGCACATACAAGCAACGGCATAAAATGCTCTCCTCCTCTGGACGGATGCATCATATTCGCATGCGGGAACTTCCTCCAACCTTTGAGCGCCTTCCATCTTTCGTCTTTATTCTCCTTCATTGTCGCATCTGAAAGCGCACGGCTCCATTGGTCAGATAAACCTCTGAATTGTTTCTGTTCTTCAGGCCCTGAAACACCCAGTGCCATCATGGCGCGAATGTTGTGGAAGCTTGCGAAACCGGAGCCGATGACGGCAATGTTTTGAGATCGAAGTTTGGCGAGGGCTGATCCCATGCGGAGATGTTGTTCCGGATCTTCAGACTCTAAGACAGACACTTGGACTATGGGGATGTCGGCTTTGGGGTTGACGAGAAGAAGTGGAACAAACACGCCATGATCCCAGCCACGCTCTTCATCGAGTTCAGGTGTGAGACCCTCTTGCTTTAGCGCTTCGGCAACCTCGTTTGCAATCTCGGGATGGCCCGGTGCAGGATACTTGTATGCGTAAGTCTCTTTAGGGAATCCGTAGTAATCGTAGAGGAGCTTGTGAGATGCACCCGAAGAAATGGTGGGTTTGTCGGTGGACCAGTGGGCTGTAATCAGGATAATCGCTTTGGGCTGATCTGGGGTGCCGAGCTTGAGGATCTTGGGAACGCGGTTCTTGAGGGAGTAGACGATATCCTTATGTTGGAGGTCACCTAGGATGGGCATAGGACCTGGTGATGTTAGTTGTGGCCATGATTGATAAGATATGGAGTGTAAGTGACTTACCACCACCATGAGAGAGGGCAATCACAGGAGCAAGTTTAGACATGGTTGTATGTATCTGAGAAAAGAGATGTTTGAATAGTGGTGGTGTATATCTCAACATGAATAGTTTATTCTGCTATCTTCTCATCATGGCGGGGACCCTTCAGGTATTTATATCTATCCTCCACAGTCATGATAAGGAGCCATCATGGCTTGTGGAGCAGTTTCCGCTTCCCGCTGTCAACTTCCGAGGAATCATCTCATTTCTATCCAATAGAATTGATCTTGGTCATTACCCGCGCGCGGAGCTCCACTTGTTTCCCGCACCGCAATTTGTAATCTGCCGCTTCCGACTTTCCGATAGGTATCCTACATCATGTCATGTCATGATACACTTAGATAGAGAGAATAGTGACGATATTTCCGGATCATGAGATATATCCGAGTTATGTACGACTAAATAAACACAGATATTTGGTCCCTTCCATGACCAACAGCCTTTAGCCTCGATCCAATCTCAAGAGGACTTCCCTCTGTAACCATAAAATGTCCCATATCCTTCTCATCCGCTCCGAGGATTTTGTAAATATTGCTACTAACGAGATCAACCGCCTGTTTCTCGCCCAACCGTCCACCGGCGTTCTTGTAAGCTGTTCCAGCTGCAAACCCAAGGTCGCGCAGCTCCCAGTCCTCGTGCAGTCCAATACCCACCGTCACATTAGCATCAAGCAGCGCATCAATGACAGTACCGTTCGTAAGTGGTGCACCAGTAAGTACACGGCGTGAGTCCCAGCTATCGCCAATGGATTGGAGAGGTGAGAGGATGACGCCGACGCCGGCTTGTCCAAGTTCTTTGGCGACCATGTGGGATTCTGCGCCACCAATGATAGCCATCTTGAGACGCTGGGCTACGTTGGAAGTTTCGAGCAAACCCTCGATCTCGGACTTGATTCGAAGAGCTGTTGCGATTCCATCTGCGCTGTTGATGGTGAGAGCTAGGGCTCGCTCACCGGTAACAACTTTCTTAAGGAATGCTTCTTCAGAAAATGGATTGGCAGTAGGGTTCGTAGACGTAGCAGCTGTGAGTAACCTATTCCTCAGACCACCAAAAGCCGCAGAGTAACTAGTTGAGCCCCTAACGTTGACATCAAGAGTGTAATGAACTGCCAGATCAGGAGCAAAAACAGCCCCTTCTTCGATGCTAGTTAATGCCGAAGTAGAGAAGCCAACGCTGGTGCCGAAGTGAGTTGCGCCGCCCACAAAGACGGGTGCTGAGATAGCTCTAGTAACACCATAGCGAGCTGCAACATGCAGTTTCTTGGAGTCAAGTGCAAGTCCGTCAATGGCTCGGGAGAAGATCAATGGGTTAGGTCCATTATTGGTCACGCTCTCGGCATCAATCTCGCTAAGACCCAAGGTACCACCGACAGCTGTGAAAGCTCGTGTCAAGTAACCGTTCTTTAGAGCGATGGTCTTTGCGCCGGTTCCAGCTGCAGCATCAAACTCGGAGTCACAGTTACCGACGCAAGTGATCTTGCCTTTAGAAACGACCACATTGACCGGCTGTTCCAGAGATTCGTAGGTCTTGTCATCTTCGAGAAGCACCTTGATGACACCGGTGAAGAGAACGTTGTCGAGCTTGCTTGGTTCCTCAACAATCTCAGCAACCTTCTTGACAGATGCAATCGCCTTCTCCTGCTTCGACAGCTCGACAGGGCTTTCAAATTGGGATATACCGTCAATCCAGACTTGCACAGGAGTTGCGCCGACACTAAGAGGATCGCTGTCCCAGACAACAACATCGGCATCAAAACCAGGCTTGACCTTTCCTAGTCGCTTGCCCATACCGAGCAACTCAGCGGGTGCAGAAGTGACACTGGCCATCGCAACGTGGTAGGGAAGACCATAGTGATGTCCCTTCGCTGCTTCGAAAAGGACGTGCTGCGCGTTGATGACGGGGTTGTCGCTGACGTAAACGACCGTGAGATTATTCTCATTAAGAATCTTGCCAGCATACTCAGATCCAATGTATGCTTCAGTCTTGTAGAACATGTTGTCAGCAAAGAGAGCTGAAGCAGGAGCCCGTCCGCCCCAGGTCCTCTTCAGAATCTATAACGCAAGTCAGTACAAGAACCCGATTCCTGGTGAGTATTACATACCTCTGGGACAAGATATGTCTGATGAGCATGATGGAAAGCTCGAACAGGGAACTTAAACTCATTCGTATGATCGACCATTGCCTCGAGGTCAGGAATAGTATAACAATGCGTGTTGATGTGAACCTGGCCCCTCATCGCTGCGGTCAAGCTCTCCCAGAAGATCTCACCAGGAAGATACTCATCCATCTTCTCAACACCCAGACTTTCGGCCTTGGCACACCAATCATCTTGCTTCTGAATTAAATCTCGTGCTCGCTCAAAAGCGTGTCTGAACTCATAGCTTTCGCCCATGCGGCTGAAGGGTCTTTTTCCAACACCACCGTGAACTCTCTTTGCGTTTTCGCCACACGCCATCTTCATGTAACGCCAGTTGCGGTCAGGATCAGCTAGTAAGTCTTGGGCGCTGATTTCTTGTCGGCCATCAGCTTTGCCAACGGCGTGTTTGATCAGGTAGGCTTCTCCGCCGATGTTGTTGCCTGAGCCAGGGAGGATGAGAGATGTTGTTACGCCACCAGATTTGATGACTTCGATTTGAGGATCCAAGGGAAGGAGAGAGTCAATGGCGCGGGCCCAGGGTGTAATGTTATCTGACATCTCGTTTCCATCCGAGTTACCTTCGAGAGAAGGCAAAGGGTAAACGCCAGCATGGCTGTGAGTATCGACGATACCACTTGTCAAGCGACGACCATGGGCTTCGTAGACGATGGTGTCGTCAGGCAGCGAAGAAGTCTTAATGTCCTTCTCAACGCGCTGGATAAGACCTTTCTCGAGATAGACATCGCTCTGCACCCACGCCCAACCTTTTCCAGCACGTGCATCCTCCTCGCTCGTCCCCTTAGCAGGCTCTCCAATCCAAACAGTAGCGTTCTTAATCAAAGTCGGTTTTCCACCATCGATATAACGAGCATTCTTATCACGTCCAAGACCAGCAGGATCTTCAGGCTTGACACGAAACTTCTTGCAAGTTTCAAGATTCTCATTTAGCTTCTGCACTGAAAGTGTAGTTTTCTCTCTTGGTGAAATTTGTCGCCATTGAGCAAAGACGATGAAGGCAAGACATGCTAGAGCAAATAGTCTGATGGCGCGTGAGCGACGTAACGTTCGTCTGCTGCGCTGTTGCTGTTGTCCAACAGGCGCTGGCAGCGAACTGTAGGGCGGGAGTTGAGCCTTCTCATCCATTGCTGAGAAGGTGTATGATGAAAGAGAAAAGAGGAGATGGGAGTCTTTGGAATGAAGATCCCGTTGATAAGAGAGTTCCTGATTGATGTCTCGGATAGTCGGAAGCTTACAGTGATTGGTCTCCGCTATGGCGAGCTATCTATGGCGGGGAAGACAGAGACCAGGGGCCCTGTATATTTCACCTTCTACTACTGTAATGGGCAGAGCATCATGGAACTTTTGTAAGTGAGCTTCCTTTGGACTCTCAACAGGCGGTGATGTTTGAACTTATCTGTTCAATAGCATATTTGAAGTGAGGTCACGATGGCAGCTTGAAATGAATGCCAGTATTTTGTGGTTCAGTGTGGCTGACTTATTGAGTTTAACATCGCCACTGTAAGGTTCGAGAGTTTAAGATAACAGCCCTGTAACGCGTAACGGCTCTGAACAGACGAACCTACCCAAGTGACTTCTCCAATTCAGCAGCATAGATAAAGTTGCAGTAGGCAGGCTCAGGTATAAAATTTGAAATCAATCGAGATTGAAAGCTACGTCTTGCATGCTGTATACGATGACAAGATGATTTTTTGGAGGGTAAAAAGTCAAAAAGTGAGGTTCTGCCCGGGCTCGAACCGGGGACCTTCTCGGTGTTAACGAGATGTCATGACCAACTAGACCACAGTACCAAGCTGTTTTTGTTGATGCTGCTTGTGTAATTTAGTACTATACTGTAGCATTGTGCGAGGTGAGAAGATGCTAAGGGGTCTTCTCTGCCTCGTATATGTCAATTGTGATGTCGGAATGGAACTTCAAAATACTTTGACAGCAGAAGTACGGCGATCAGTCTTGGAGTTATTGCACAATTGATCAACCCAGCTGCTTTCTGACCCCGCCAGATACAGGCATCTCAAGCACAGTCTACGGGTTAGCATCTCAACTGATCCAGTCCAGTCGGTGAGGACTGAGTCTAAGATCTCAATACTCCATATCACTAATGCCCATCATAACCACGACGATAAGCGATGGCAATACTAAAGCTGGGAGAACGATAGCCGGGTCCGTTCACCCTGTTGTTGTTTCCGCCATCGTGATTCAACCTCGTGGCATGGGTTTCGCTTCAGGGTATAGCATGTCCTAGTCCTAGTCCCACTTCAAAACTTCCCGGTTCTATGCCTGTTCGTGGTTCAAAGCTTTGTGTCAGTGTTGTTATTGTTTGTGGCGTTTTAAACCTGATTGATAGAGAACAAAGGATTGTGAGCTCGGAGCAAACGTTTGTGCGTGTCTATGATTGCTTGTTATTTACGGGTACAAAAGATCTGGAGAGTCTGGGATCGAGACCGTTGTAGGTACCCACTTGGAAATGTTAAGCGCCTTACATGGATTTGGAAGGCTGAGTTCCTGTTGCTGGGTGATCGTAGCAGGCTTACAGGTACATGTAACAGCACTAAACTTGGCAGGTGATAACGAAGACTGTTTATTCATCCAGAATCTAGACATGTTGGTGATTGTAATAAAATAAATTGAAGCAGAGTAGATGATATTATGCCTCCAACGTTGAAGAAATGCAAGGAATTGACTATCCTCCACTGTCGCCCACTATTAACATTCCTATGTCCATTACATCTCCCAGACAGTCACTGAAACAATGCGGGCCAGTTGGAAAGAGAGACTCTGTATCAGTGGCTGTACCTGCTTACCCGTGTCAGATGCAAATGTCCGAATGTGTTCGTTGCCATGCCAACAGTACGACGTAATTTGTTTGGGTCGACAGCTTAGCTCTTTCCCCCACCAAATTTACATGCCCATACCCACACCCGCACTTACCGTACCTTGCACCATCAAAGCTCCGCTCGCTCCATTTACTTACTTGTCCCGTCTTTGACTTTGTCTGTATTACTACAACCTCTCAAGTAAAAAAAAGGAGACACGATTAAACATCATTCATTCTTTACTGAATTGTATTTGGAATGTTATTGTTTCTGCTTGTTTCTTATTCTTGAGACCTTTTGTCAAGCGAGAAGAGACGACACTAAACCTACACCGACCATTGACTTTACACAGAGCCAACGCCTCGTTGAACTCAGAGTTTCAACCACGACGCCATCAACATCAACGTTTGTTTGTTTCTACGTTCCCGGCTGCTCGACTATTACGCGATTCGGATCTTTTCTCAAGCGGCAGTGGCCGTAGAGTTGCAAAGTATCCTTCGCTTGTGAGCTTCGGGATAGTTCAGCCAAGCTCGTATCGTCGCAAGCAACTACCCGTCAACCGCATTCCAGCCTCTCACTCACAATGGACCCGAATATGTCGCGCCCACCAGACTACAGCCTCCCGCCTTACGATGACGAGGACCTTCACCACACGCCTACCGGTTACAGTCCCGCTGCTGTGAGACTGTTGACATCCGAGGAACACTACGACCCTCAACCTCAGACGTATGTACAACCTTCATCCCCCAGCCAGAATCACAACCAGATTCACACTCCCTCTACACGCCCTATTTCTCCTATTTCTCCTGCCTCTGCTTCGCCTTCAAAGTCAACACCTTTTCCCCTCATGGCACCAGTAGAGGTTCCTCCCCCATTGTTCACTTCACCTTCGAATCTCAGCATGTCTTCAGAAGCAGGAGAACGGGCTCATAGGCCTGAACCTGATCGGCAAGATGAGACTCAAATAACAGTGCACAATGAGGAACAAGACCAGCCTTCACCCAATCCTCCTTCGTATTCACTCTCTGTGGCCGGATCCCAATCCCTCTTGCCAAACAGGCCAGTTGAGGGCGGCCCAGCTGCAAAGTTGCAGAACAAGAACAGAAACAGTATCCATGTCGCCTTCGCAGATTTACCTACGGATCTACCAGAGATTCCCGAGGGGATTAGCGAAAGACGTAGGGTCCACAAAGAACATCAACACCTTGGCTTAGATGCCAACCCAACTGTTCCTCCTCGCCCTATCAGCCGCTTGAAGAACGCAAACTCACATGACAAAATTCCCAGTATCCGAAGTCCTCGAAACCTCCACTATCAGCCGAGCGTTCGATCATCGAGATCTGGTTCCATCTTCGATGATGCCCCATCACTGGGGCCCCCGGGAGGAGGATCCTACATGTCCTATGACTCGCGTGGCTATGATGCTCAGGATTATGGCTCTCCTCAGCGGCCATGGACGCCCTCCTCTCGTATGTCTGACTTCACCAGATCCGATCTCTCGAGACCTCCACCAAACCACGACATGTACGAGCCTTCCGATTTGAACGGAAGCCCCAGACCTGGAACACCTTCATCGAGATACGGCGGAAGTCCACGGCGACCTCTTCCTCCTGCACCTCTTTTCCACAGCTCGAGACAACCTGTTCCACCATTTGCAGATGACGCGACTGTTTCTATCCCCTTGCACGATCCTATGGACGACGATGTCTTCGGACCTGAATCCGACCTGAGCGATGCCCGACCCCATCCGGTTGACCGCAGCTCCTACCTTTCTGCGGAGTCCCAAGACACTCTAAATGAAGGAGATCCCGACGATTGGGACAAGGTCGAGCACTATGGCCCTGCTCCAAGCGGTGCCCAGGAACGAAGAGGTGTTCGCGCTCCTCAAATGGCAAGGAAAGAGGTTCAGCTCATCAATGGTGAGCTGGTGTTGGAGTGTAAGATTCCGACAATTCTGTACAGTTTCTTGCCTCGACGTAGTGAGATCGAATTCACTCACATGCGTTATACCGCTGTCACTTGCGATCCCGATGATTTTGTCGAAAGAGGCTACACCCTACGACAAACCTTTGGCAAGACAGTTCGAGAAACCGAATTGTTCATCTGTGTTACCATGTACAACGAAGATGAGATCGGTTTCACTCGAACCATGCACGCCGTTATGAAGAACATCTCGCACTTCTGCTCCCGTACGCGCTCTCGTACTTGGGGTGAGACTGGATGGCAGAAAATCGTTGTCTGTATTGTTTCAGATGGTCGTGAAAAGATCAACCCTCGTACTCTGGACGCTCTCGCTGCTATGGGTGTCTATCAGCACGGTATCGCAAAGAACTTTGTCAACAACCGTGCTGTGCAGGCTCACGTTTACGAATACACCACTCAAGTCTCTCTCGACTCCGATCTCAAGTTCAAGGGTGCTGAGAAAGGAATTGTTCCTTGTCAGATGATTTTCTGTCTTAAGGAAAAGAACCAGCGTAAGCTCAACTCTCATCGTTGGTTCTTCAACGCCTTCGGCCAGGCTCTCAACCCTAACGTCTGCATCTTGCTTGATGTTGGTACTCGTCCTAGTGGTACTTCGCTCTACCATTTGTGGAAGGCTTTTGATACCGATTCCAACGTCGCTGGCGCATGTGGAGAGATCAAGGCTATGAAGGGCAAAATGGGTCTTAACCTACTCAACCCCCTTGTTGCCTCTCAGAACTTTGAGTACAAAATGTCCAACATTCTTGACAAGCCCCTCGAGTCTGTCTTCGGCTACATTACCGTCTTGCCTGGTGCTCTTAGTGCCTACCGATACCACGCGCTTCAGAACGACGAGACTGGCCATGGCCCTCTCAGTCAATACTTCAAGGGTGAGACTCTGCATGGACAACATGCCGATGTTTTCACTGCCAATATGTATCTTGCGGAAGATCGTATCCTTTGTTGGGAGTTGGTTGCTAAACGTGGCGAGAGATGGGTTCTCAAATATGTCAAGGGATGTACCGGTGAAACCGATGTGCCTGGTAAGTCAAGTTCTATAAGTCAGCCCAAACTCTTTCACTAATAAGACTAGATACTGTTCCCGAATTCATCTCCCAGCGTCGTCGATGGCTCAACGGTGCCTTCTTTGCTGCCGTTTACTCGCTCGTCCACTTCAAGCAGATTTGGTTCACAGACCATACCTTTGCTCGCAAGATCCTCTTGCACGTGGAGTTCTTGTACCAGTTCATCCAGCTCTTCTTCACTTTCTTCTCCCTGGCCAACTTTTACCTCACCTTCTACTTCGTTGCAGGTGGTTTAACAGATCCAAAAATCGATCCATTCGGACATAACATCGCTACCATCGTCTTCCACATCTTGCGGTACTCTTGTGTACTCCTTATATCGACCCAGTTTATCCTTTCTCTTGGTAATCGACCTCAAGGATCTAGGAAACTGTATCTTGCCAGTATGATCATCTACAGTATCATCATGCTTTACACGACGTTCGCAACATTCTACATCATTATTCGCCAACTCACATCCAAAGACGACGAGATAGCGATGGGCGAGAACGTATTTACGAACATGATTGTTTCCATTTTATCAACGATCGGCATGTACTTCGTCATGTCTATCTTGTATCTGGATCCTTGGCATATGATCACATCTTCCGCACAGTACTTCATCCTTCTTCCCAGCTATATTTGCACACTACAAGTATACGCCTTCTGCAATACTCACGATGTCACTTGGGGTACCAAGGGTGACAACGTCATGAAGACTGATCTTGGTGGTGCTGTGGGTAAGGGTGAGACTGTCGAGCTGGAGATGCCCAGCGAACAGCTCGATATCGACAGTGGATACGATGAAGCTCTGCGCAACCTCCGTGATCGCCTTGAAGTCCCCGAGCCTCCCCCAAGCGACTCTCAGCTGCAAGAAGATTACTACAAGAGTGTCCGAACCTATCTCGTTCTCACATGGATGATCGGTAACGGTATCCTCGGTATGGCTGTCTCTGAGATCTACAGTGCCCGTGGTATTGGCGACAACTACTACCTGCGCTTCCTTCTCTGGTCTGTCGCCGCCCTCGCCGTCTTCCGTGCCATCGGCTCCACAACTTTTGCCATCCTCAACGTGATCAACATGATAGTCGAAGGCCGAGTCCGTCTGACTCTCAAGGCTCCTCGATGGATGGGTGGCTTGAAGGAGAGAGTCAACGACAAGATGAGCAGTGTGGGGAGCAACCTACGCAGTTGATGTTCGCCATCATCTTCATATTTTGACTATCTGCGTTGTGCTTTTTTGTTATGCATTTAGAAAATGGGCATCTGCATTGGCGTAGGTTGGCGTATTGACACTATCCATCTGTATGGGAAATGATGGACTCTCAGCTATTAGTTGAGATCGTTACGATGTAGCAGATGAGTTTTTGAGAAAAGGAACATGATACCGGATATGACTGAGGAAACGAATGTTTTGAATGCAAGGTTCTGCTTTGATGGATACGAAGTAATTCACCCCTGGAGACGAAGTTTATGTACATAGTAGGAGGAATGTGTATACCCCTGATTAAATGATCGACTATTAGAATAATCAAAGCAAGATCTCAAACAAAACTATAATGTGTGGGCAAATGTGATGTCAAATCGAGATAATAAAATAAGTCTATGAAATTCAACAATCTAGATGATTCACGCAAAGACTTGCGAGTATTTCTACATGGAATAAAATGCGTTCCTATCAGTTGCGCCGGCCAAGTTAATACAACATCAAGCTATGCAAAAAAACAAGTAAAGCAATCAAAAGCAATGATATCAGTGCTTTTCTTCCCAACATTGATCCTTCATTCTTTCTTCCTTTCCGTTCCAATCCGTAATTTTCGTTTCAGTCTTTTTTGGTAATTTATTCATCCTCTTCTTCATCAGCGACCTGGTGGAGAGTTAGTATATGTCATATGGGATGTATAAGGTTTGTTAGGACTTACGTTGTCGTGGAAGTTTTGGCCGTCGGTGGTGGCGACGATGACGCCGGAACGGACACAGAAGTCACCAAAGCGCTCACCCTCGTTGCGCTCGAGAGCGTAGCGCTTAAGGAGAGGCTTCATGATGGCGAGGATCTCGTCCTCCTTGATGCTCTGGCGATATAGCTTGTTGAGGCGCTGGCCATGGTATCCACCACCCAGGTACATGTTGTAAGCACCGTATGCCTTACCGACGAAAGCAACCTCGGCCAGCCAGGGACGAGCGCAACCGTTGGGACAACCGGTCATACGCATGACGATCGAGTCCTGGCGGAGACCGTTCTCCTCGAGGCAGCCCTCGAGCTTGGAGATGAGAACGGGCAGGTATCGCTCAGACTCAGCCATGGCAAGACCACAGGTGGGGAAAGCGACACAGGCGGAGGAGCTGAGACGGAGGGCGGAGAACTGGACGTTGTCGAGCTTGTACTTCTTCATGAGCTCCTTGACGGCGTCGAGGTCCTCGTCGGCGACGTTGCTGAGAATGAGATGCTGGTTACCAGTGAGACGGAACTCAGCTTCGCCCTTGAGGGACTTGGCGATCTCACGCAGGCCAGCCTTCATCTGGAACTCGGGGGTATCCTCGATACGACCATTCTCGATGAAGAAGGTGAAGTGGTTAAGACCGTTCTCATCCTTCTGCCAGCCGAAAGTATCGACGTTGCTCTTGAACTCGAAAGGTCGCTCGTTCTCGAACTTCTTGCCCCAGAGTTCCTCGACCTTGCTGCGGAAGACAGGCACGGTCATGTCGTCAATGGTGTACTTGAGACGGGCGTGCTTTCGGTTCTTACGATCACCGTGGTCACGCTGGACGAGCATGATCTTCTCACAGACAGTGTGGACATCCTCTGTCTTACAGAAGCCGAACATACGACCGGTCTGAGGGTATGTCTTCTTGTTGTTGTGAGTAGCACCCATACCACCACCAGCAAGAACGTTGAAACCAGCGAGGTTACCGTCCTCACCCTTGATGGCGATCAGACCAATATCGTGAGCGTACACATCAGTGTCGTTGTGAGGAGGAATGGCGATGGTGATCTTGAACTTTCGGGGCAGGTAGGTAGGTCCGTAAAGGGGCTCGAAGTCCTGAACAGCGTCACCAGCAACCTGGGTCTTCTTGTTGTCGTCGTCGGTCAACCAGATCTCGTGGTAAGCACTGGTTGAGGGCAGGAGGTGGTCGCTGATGAGCTGGGAGCAAGCGAAAACCTGGCGGTGGTACTTGGACTGAGTAGGGAGCGAACTGCACATGACGTTACGGTTCACGTCACCACAAGCAGCAATGGTGGTCATGAGAGCGCGGTTGATAGCTTGCATAGCGGGCTTAAGCTTGCTCTTGACAACACCGTGGAACTGGAAGGTCTGTCGGGTGGTGAGCTTCATGGTCTCGTTACCAAGCTCGTTGGCAATGTCGTCCATCTGCACCCACTGCTTGGGAGTTGAGATACCACCAGGCAGACGGCATCGGATCATGAAGGAGTAGGCGGGCTCGAGACCCTGGGCCTTTCGCTCATCTCGGATATCACGGTCATCCTGCATGTATGTTCCGTGGAACTTGGTGAGCTGCTGGTCAGAGGCCGAGATAGCAAGAGTAGAGGGATCATTAAGACCCTCAACGATGGTACCACGGAGGTAGTTGGAGGCCAGCTTGATGTCCTCGTTGGTGATTGGCGGGGGCTCCTCGGGGAGGCCATCGACCTTGTCCACTCCAAGAGCGGTCCAGAGCTTAGGCTCCCACTCCTGGTAACCAGTCTGGAAGCTGTCGGGGTCCTGGTCGTCACCGAGACCAACGTCGATCAGGTGCTTACCACCGAGGTTGGTCAGGACACGGTCAAGATCCTTAGCGGGCTTGTTATAGTAGATCTTGTCCTCCTTTCGGGGCCAGTAGTGGCTGTCACCGAGACCGAAGATGGAGTAGTTGACAGCAGCAAGGTCAAGGTCGGTGTTGTCCTTGATAGCATCCCAGAAAGGCAGACCGTTCTGAGGGAACTCACCCTGACCAGCAGTAGAGGTAATGAAGACAATGTTCTCCTCAGTAGGGAGGTCCTCAAGGGGGTAGTCCTCCATAGCCAAGACACTGGTCTTCAGGCCACGGGCGCGACCACGGCTAGCCAATCGCTTGGCCAGGGTAGTAGCGTTGCCGTTATCGGAAGCATACAGAATGGTCAAGGGAGCACCCAGGAGACCCTCAAGAAGCTGGTTGTAAGCATCCTTGGCCTTTCGCTTTTGCTGAGCTCGAACCTCGCTTCCGAAGTCCTTGACAAGAGCAGCAGCGAACTTGGGTTCCTTGGCAGCCAACTGAGTAAGCTGGTTGTCACGGGCAAGGAACTTCTTGAGCTCCTGCTTGATGAGCTCGGAGTCCAGAGAGAAGTTGGGCTCGCCCTTCTTCTCGTTCTCGGGGTTCCATCGGTACAGAGGCCAGTATCCGGTATCGACGGCCTTCTTGGTCTCCTGAAGAACAGTAAGAGGAGAGTCAGACTCGCCGAAGTAGGGGAGGTAGGCGAGAACAACGGAGGGACCCTCAAACTTGTCAGCCTCGAGAAGGGCCTGGAGAACCTGGGTGTAGGAGCTGTAGACAGCGGTGGAAGCGACGTAAACGTTGCCGAAGTTCATGGCGTATAGGCCAATGTCCTTCTTGCGGCGGTTAGCATCAGCAACAGCTCGCTCCGAGTAAGGAGTGGAGTCGATGATGAGCATGTTAACGTTCTCGCCAGAGGCAAGGACGTGGTGAACACCAGAGTTACCCAGATCGTAGGACCAGGCATCAGATCCAGTCAGCCAGAGGGACTCCTTTCGGAAAAGACCCTTTGCAGAGAGAAGCTCAGCGGCCAGAGGAGAGCCGTCGGTCTCGAGTCTAGCGATGACATCGTCGGCAATCTCAGTCGATTTGGAGGTATCATCAGCGTTCATAGCCCATCGTGCCAACCAGCTCTTGGGAGCATCAGTAGTGAAGCTACCGTTGGTGGCAGCATCCTTGACCTGAGAAACAAACTGGCCACGGCGCTGCTTGCGAGCCAAAAGGGAACCGAATCCGAACTCAGGGCTGGCAGAGACAGTAGATGAGAGGCCAGTAGTAGAAGACTTGATAGCGTTGGCAACGTAAGCTCGCTGGCCGAAAAGCTGATCAAGGATCTTGGTGTAGGCAGTCTCGAGCTGAGGAGCCTGGAGATCGTAGCCGGTAGGCTCCTTCCAAGCTTCCTTCTTTCCAACCTCAAGGTTCTGGATGGGCTTCTCGGCAGTAAGGTTCTGGAGAACACCACGAAGAGCCTGGACGACAACGTCGAGGGCAATGTAGCCAAGCTGGTGGCCAACAATAGCCTCAACGCCACCAGGACCACTCTTCACGGAAGTCAAGACATCAATGAGGAGGGGACCCCACTTAGTAGTCTTGCGGTGGATCTGCTCCAACACAGCGATGCGCTTGACTGATCGAGGAATGGCCTCAACAAGTCTAGAGCCGAGCCAAGGTCGGTAGAGGCGAGGGGTAAGAATGGCCGTGTTGGCGAAGATCTCCTGTGAGTCGGCCTCATCGATTGCTTGAGCGAAAGCACCGGCATCAGAACCGAAGATGAAAAGACAGTTCTCGGCGTTAGGAGGGCCAGAGTACTCGAAAGCGCTGTACTCCCGGCCAACGGATGTCTTAAGCTGGGCCCAGATACGGCCAGCAGACTTGTAGATATCCTCAGAAGTAACCTGAGGAGGAGCAGACTCGACTGTGGTGGCAACCGATGAAGACGCAACAGGAGTGCTAGACTCACTGTCCTGGCTGGACTTGACTGAAGTTCCGGTTGAAGGAGCCTTGGAGGCGTTGGCGCTGGGAGGCACGGTAAGGTTGCCACTCTCAGCAGCACCGCTCACGACAGGCGTGTCGTGGTCTGAAGAGACGGCAATGTGGCCATCATCGGCGTAGATACCGTTGTGAGAAGAGGGAGCAGAGCCAGCCTGGTATCGGCGAACGCAGTCAATGTCGAGAACATCACGAACGACTGAAGCGTCCTCGACGGTAATAGGCTTGTCCTTTGCTGATGTGGAAGGAGCAAAGAAGTGAACAACACCCTTGCCAGTTCGGATAGCAAGAGCGTGAGCAGTCAAAGCCAAATCCTGGGCCTCCTGGAGGGTCTCGGACTGAACAAATGTGAATCCCGAGTTACGGATGGCGGTGATGACGGAGTAGTCGGGGAATGTTCGAGGCTGAAGAGAGACGTGAAGGACAACAGGGTAGTTGGCCAACTTGTATAGGTGTGACACGGATGGTAGGAGGATGTTGGATGTGGTGGTGACTGAGACGAGCTTGCCAGCTCGGATGGGGGTATATACTGAGAGAAGAGGATCGGTGTTGTGTCGGACGGGAACAACCTATATTGAATTGTTAGTTTTGTTCGATATTGAAGTTCAACCGCCCAATTGCTCCTGATCAATCCGTATGTAATTATTCATTGCTTCCATATACCCTTGCCCTCATTGACTTATAGATGGTAGTAGTTCTGAAAACCCTCAAAAAAGAGGCCGGAGATTTTTCGGAGAGCACTTGGGAGGGGTAATTTGCTGTGAATCAAAACTCACCTCAGGAACTGTATCAGCACTCTGAGCGACCAAGCTGCTGTCCTTGCGGCCTGCGTATCGGTTCAGGTGAGAGGAGAACTCGGAGTCGGTGCCAATGGCGGGCTGGACGGAGACAATAACATCGCTGGAGAGGTAGGCAATTCGAGCCACTGGGATTAAGGAATTAGCGATCCGATCGTATTGCGCAAACTCAATTTAGCGGTTATGAGATTGCTGTTCAGTCTGAGCCGTGATCTCGCCCGTTGCGCCGGTTGAGATCGACCGCTTTGCAGAATGACAGGTTATATCTCCAACTCATGCAGCATCCCAGTACCGCATCTGAAAATCCAACATGGGAATAAACTCACCGGCCTCCTCAGGAGTCTTGACCTGGTGCTGTGAAGCAGCGTCCATTATGTCCCTTCTTCGTCTTCGACTTCGTCTCGCGGGGTATTATGATCGAGCTTCGTGCTGTTCTATAATGAACAGAGCAGACAAGCTGCTTTCTCTTCCACAAGAAGTATAAGAGGGTGGAGGAGAGAAAGAGAGATGAAGAGAAAGGAAAGAAATCTCAATGACTAGAACTCGCTCAAAGCGGGATCCGGGGCCTTGAGTGGTTTTCTTCCTTTTCTATAGATGGATGGGTATTAGACAAAGGTTTCTTCCCTCTGGCTCAACGTCCAAAGAAAGGAAAAGAAGTTTGTAAACTGGAGCGAGCAGAAGAAAGACACGCCCTTTTGCCTTTCTGGTCTTACTTAGAAGAACGCCCCTCGTCTGGTCTCTTTTGGATAGGATAGGTCCGTAGTCCGGTCCCTCGGCTCGACTTGCGCTTTGCTCATTCGCACGTCTTATTCTTCTCCTCTCACTCGCCGATGGATTTTTTCCCTTCCCCGCGCCATTATTAGTTAGCAGCCTAGCGAAAAGGCAGCGAATTCCATCCAAACGCAGCAAAAATTGGCTTGTATGAATCCTCGCCCTCGATTGCGTGATCGATTAGCGGGATGCTATGCCCCGGACGGCGGGGCTCACTGCGTCCTGTCGACAGTTTGGGGTGTTACCTCAGGGTCGCGCCTTCCGCTGGAACCAGGGCCTGTGCACTGCTCCGCGACCACCGATAACGAATGAGGAGCTCTGGATTTGCTTCAAGATGTTCTTTAATTGGTAGAAACTGAATTAGATAATGGTTTCAACCAATAAACTTCACCCCGCGAACACCGGCATTGGGCAGGAGATACATACAGGGGTCCGCATCGAGAGGGATCCACCCCGAGTTCCTGCTGAGGCATGCTGTTGGGCCACCGACGGTCCGCGCAAGAATCACCAAAAATGATGAGAGATGCTGGCGTTGCAGCAGGTAACTCGAAACTGCATGACCTATTTTCTCCTCTTCTCCAAGACAAACCCCAGACAGTTTGCAATTCAGCAGGGATGGCTCCGACTACCGGCCGGTGCCCGTTTATTTTCTCTCCGTGTCCCAATGGAAATGGATCCTGGAGTCTATGAGTATACCATTTCGACATTCGCATCTAAGACGGCGAGAATTGGTAATCTGCCTACCCCGTTCACGATGCTTCCTCCGGGTGGCCCATCGGAAAGATAAGACTCATAAAAAAGCACAGACAAAGGGAGTCAAGTACGGAAGATCCCCCGTCGCCTTCTCCGTTGGCGGGAGTGTCCGAAGACGGAGGCTAATTGTACCTGTATTAAATGTTGAGCTTACTGATTGATTAACTGGTCGACTGTCATTGGCTGTTCCTTAAATGAATAGTCTTGCGATATCACTATGGAGATGGGAACTAGCACAATATTGTAAAGACACAAACATGGTAGAGTGATATTGTTTGTTCGGGTTGAATATCTACTAGAAGTATTATTGACTGCCATTGAGTGGCAGGTATTATCATTATGCCAAATTCCTATCCTGATGCACCAATCATGATCCAGATCCCTAGTATACAAGAGAACTCATTGCGTTCCAACGACCCACGATATCTCAACGTTCAATGACGAGATAGCATCATGTGCTCTCGCGTCTTTGGACTTGGACCGGGATCGTCCTATCACGCAATTTTGCTTTCCAACTTCTTGTCGGCTCATCCGCTCACACCATCCGCAGCCGCCGTTCAGAGGATCCACAGCATGCCGCGTTTTCGCCGCACAAGCCGCACTTCCTCCGCGCCGGCCGAGTTCATCGGCTTTGTGCCCGGTGTAAGCTTCTTTCTTGTTTCCATCTAGGCTTCCGTGCATCACCTGTCTCCGTAATAAAACTCCGTCTATCGCGTGTTGGTCCATTTATCATGAAAATGAATCGCAAAACATCAATAATCAATGATAGCTTGCACCGCAAAATGTAAAAGGGCAGCACCAGGCCAACCGGTCTGGCCGCCAGTACTCATGTTCCAGGTTTCCGTATATATCTTTCAGGATCATTCAACAGTCCGCGGCAGGTCCCACGTGTCAAACGATTTTCTAGACCTCGCCGGAGAGTGTACCCGCGGCGGCGGGCTTATTAGGTCCTCCCAGGCTGGGGGCCCATTCGTCAGACTCTCGGGTGTCCAACCAGTAAGCTCGGCCACATGAAACCATTAAACGGCCAAGGCGTCCCCGGCGGCCCTCGCCGTCAGGGAGATCCTCGGCGAAAGGACCCTCCTGATCATCAACGCCTGGTCCTTCTAGAATCATCAGCTGCATGTACTTCTGCAGCACCTGCTTTGCATAAGCCATGACGACGAAGCTGAAGTAGATGCGGATCAACGTCGCGCCAACAATCAGCAACATGCTCGCAGCCGTTTCCTGAGGAACGACCTTTCCATGCATGGCAGCCTCCTTGCGCAGACCCTGCATACCCTCAGCCACGAAATTTGGCAGATCCGTCTTCTTGGATTCGATCGTTTCGTTGAGTTGAGTAGAGAAGTACCAGTCTAGGCCGAAAGCCGCGGTGTACGCTCCGTTGATAACGGTATCGATGATGTAAAGCCAGGCGAGGGCCAGGCACTCAAAGGGGCTTTGTCGTCGAACATGAGGAGTGAGAATCGCAAGTCCAACCAGAACAGCAATGGAGTAGACGTAAGTCGAGAGTTGGAGGAGAGATAACTGATATCCAGTAAGGATGGCGAGAAGTCCGTATACACCGGTAATCTTGTTGAAGACGAGGGCCAAGGAAATAAGCTCAGTACCGGTCTGAAGGCTGGTGATACCGAAGAGGCTCTACAAACGGTTCTTGTTAGTATTTGATGACCACTTCACCCGCGTAGGACGAAATCGAGTCCAAGTCGCGTGCTCCTTACCTTGGGCCGGGGAACCCGGAGAGATCGAGTAAGTCGAGACATGGCGGCGCGTATTTGACAAAGAAGATGTTTCGTTTCCTGAGCCTTCGAAGTCTCGATCTGTTGATGGCCTTCGTGAGTTGATGATGAGGCTCAAAAGGAAACGCGCAGGAGAACGATGAAATTACAGGGACGGAATATGATGCAACCAGGGTCAGTATCCAAGAAGTTTGCGCCCGAGACTGCCGGTGTAATCTTAAATCACGTGTACTCCTTTAAGAAAAGTCATGCTGGGTGGAAGCTCGTCAGCCAATCATAATGCTTACTCATGCTTGCTTCATCTTGGAGTTCTGGGCATTGACAGCACCCATCACGTCACTGACTGCAACCCCAAATGCGCCTCAGCAGGGCTGTTCGATCTTCAAGCCATCAATGACACTCTAAGAAGCGCTTGTGCTTGCCTATCTTAGGAGACTGATGTTCTGCAAGAGAACAAGCCTGCAGGGTCTGTTGACGTTCTCCGGATCCCGTTTCGTTGGCCCGCTAATAGCAGTAAATTGTCGCACTTGATTCGCAAAACACGATAGGCCGGCCATCTTTCTGATCTGACAAGAGTTGAATTGGCTGAAAGAAGTCACTCACTCACATGTGATCGTTTTGTGCCTGCCCATTCGTGTCCTGATTGATACCCTGACATTCTGCTTGCCGTGTTGTTCTTCCAACTTTATTCACGGCCTACCCTTGGCAGAAGGGTTCGTCTGCTTTACCATGAAGTGGCTTACACATCTCTCCACCAGGAAGTCAACTACTCTGGTCGAGACCTTACCTTTCCCTCCTCCATCTTCTCTAAGGAACTTCAATACTAAAACACGAGTATCCCCCTCAACCTTCCCTTCTTCTCTTGTTGGCGCTAGAGGCTTTTCAACGCATTTACCCTATACTTCTCGAAATCTCCCCACACCTCGTCATTTGCACCGCGGGGTCCTGCACATCCCACTCAGTCTAATCCACATACGCAGCTGTAAACACAGCCAAGGTCTCAGCCTCAGCAACAGGTGCAGTTCAAGAGCCATGTCTTCAGCAGCAAACCTAGTCGAGTCGGCCAAAAAGTTGGCTGCCTATCAGGCAGTCAATGACCACCTCGATGCCTCTTACAAGTTTGTTGGAATTGGCTCTGGTAGCACCGTCGTCTACGTTGTGGACGCCATTGTCAGCAAGGGACCCGAGTTTTACAGTGGGATGACTTTTATCCCTACTGGAAGCCAGTCTAAGGGTCTCATTCGTGCTGCTGGTTTGAATCTTGTAAACTTGGATGAGAGGCCGATGGTCAATGGTCTTCCTGTTCCTCTTGACGTTGCCTTTGACGGCGCTGATGAGGTGGACGAGGATCTCAATCTTATCAAGGGTGGTGGTGCTTGTCTGTTCCAAGAGAAATTGGTTGCAATTGCTGCTAAAAAGTTCATTGCTGTAGCTGGTATGCACCAATTATTATCATCTTATGATGAATTTAGAACAAACCACTGACGCACAGCAGATTACCGAAAGCAATCTCCCAGGCTCTGTACCACATGGAAGACCATTCCTATCGAGGTTCTTCCGTTATCCGCACCTGACGTTTTGACCCGTCTTCGAGCCATGGGCTCTTCCAACCCTGCCATCCGTTCAGGCCTCCCTGCCAAAGCTGGAGAATGTGTAACAGACAACGGCATGTGGCTGATTGACGCGCCATTCTCCCCCTTGCTTCTCCTCAAGGATATCAATTCCGAGACCGAGGGTCGCGGAAAAGATGGTGCCTGGGAAGTCAGCGCTCTTGCCGAGGAATTGGTCCGCACGCCTGGTATTGTTGAAATTGGTCTTTTCCACGGCTTCAATGGCAACGAAGCTGTCGAGCTGGGCAAGAAATACCAAGCGCAAAAGCCCATTGCGGCCTATTTCGGTCTCGCCAATGGCGAAGTGCAAGTACAGAACGCCGCCTAAATCCAGATTAAGAGGGAATGTTTGTGGTAAATAAAATAACAACTTTTGGGATACCACAATTGGCCAGCAGAAGACAAAAGTACACTGTCGCAAAAGACGATTGGGTCGTCGCATGTTCAGAGATTTTGGAATGTCACCCCTGATTTAGATCGAGCGGTAGTTTAGAAGCGAAATGATTGACCAGCCTTAAACCAGTCGAACCAAGGCATTAAAGTGTCTTATTTAACGATCGCAGGCTCGTAGCTGGTTGTATTATACAAGCTCCCGCACTAAAATCCGCACGCTATGCTTGATATCCTGTCAAATGCGCAACATAGCAAATGTTCTTTCGCGTTTCGAGCAAGGCTTGCGTTTTCCCAGATACTCCTGTACTCCATTTCTGATCCGGCGTATGGGTATTTAGCACGCGCATCCCTCTTGTGATTGCTGCGTGTTGTTCGTCTTGACGTCGATCACTAAGACGATGTGTTAGCTGATAATTAAGTCTCGCGAGCGATGTGCTTACTCTGGTTTGAAGCTTGCGCCGCCGCGTCGCTTCCCTCCATACCGGGTAGAGCCTGTGCTATCCTCTTGAACAGGTTCTTGACGTTATGACCAAGCTTTGCGCTTGTCTCGACAAACATCAGGTTGTTCTTCTTGGCCTCCTCCTCGCCCTGCTGTGTGGTGACCTCTCGCTTGTCGTTCAAATCCGTCTTGTTTCCAACTAGCACAATAATAACATCGTTTCCTCGTTCGGCTCGTACATCGTCAATCCACTTCTTGGTGTTTTGGAAAGACTTAGCGTCTGTAAGTAAAGAAGTGCAGTGTTAGCACGATTCATGCATAGCCACGATTGGAGGCGAGGGGGTTGATAGGTGGTGGGGTCAGCCCAAAGGGCACGTACTGGAGATATCGTAAACAACGACGGCTACACTTGAATCACGGATATATGAGGGAATCAGACTTCGGAATCGTTCTTGTCCAGCGGTATCCCATAGCTGCAATCGCACGGTTCGGTCTTCGAGGTACATGGTCTAAGTGTCGTGTTAGTCTTGCGCCTAGACTCGGTTATGACGGTGCTGACCTTGGAGAGGAAATCAATGCCAATCGTCGCTTGGTACATGTTGTCGAAAGAGTCGTACATGAATCGTGTAATCAAAGAGGTCTTGCCGACTATTGGAATTGTTGTTAGTGATGGATCGTAGGGGTCCGTAATCGGTCATGGACGTACCGCTCTGCTCTCCTAGAAACACCAACCTATTAAGCCATTAGCAAATGAGATATAAATACAGCTATTGGTATACAAACTTGAATTTCTTCAAGGGGTTGTTGTAAGAGCCGCCAGCCTGCGCCATGTTTGCGGTTGTGTTGTCTTGTTCGGTGTCTCTTGCAAGGACGGTGTATGGGACAGCTGTCAAAGCTAAGAGATATATGTCACTGGGAGGGATACAATCTTGTCGTTGCTATCAGAAGAGGAACCTGGCCTTGGCGACACAGAAAAAGATAAAAGAACGGTGCAGCCTTGAGAGTGGCAACTGGATTGTATAGGGATAAAGGCTAATTACCAGTTGGAATCTGGAGAAAGGAGCGTCTAGATCCTAGATTCGGCAGGAGCGTATGAGATGGAGGCCACCCTGAACAAGTTCAAGGAAGGTGCACGTGCCGATAAGAGCATATCTCCGTTTCCTGAACGGCGTCCCCAACAAGTCAAGCGTGACTCTCTCCGTATTTACTGGACGCAGCGGGTCGAGACTTTTCGGCCCCACTAAAAAATTAAGAAATCGGTCCCCCACCAATTTTATCGACAAGCAGCATTTTCGTTCTTCATTATCGACAATACCAGGAATCCTTTTTTGGTAAAGGACTCGCAAATATGCCTGTGTTAGAATCCAAGAATGCCGGCAATGGTGCTGCGCCAAAGCAACATAGTCAGCCTTCGCGAAAGGGCAAGAAGGCGTGGAGAAAAAATGTTGATGTTACAGACGTCCAGGAGGGTCTTGAAGAATTGAACAAGGAGATTATTCAAGGGTAAGATGGTATTCTGTCGCGCTTTAAATCTCTAGCTAATACGTCAATAGCGGTGTCATCAAGGAGCGACCTTCGGAACAACTCTTCTCGCTCGATGTCAAGGGCGATGCTGCTCTCGAAAAGAAGTTCAACAAGCACATCAAGAAGGGCCTCAAGGCCGACGAGATTATCAATGCTCGATCGCCGGTTCCCGCTGTCTCTATGCGCAAGCGACCAGGCGACAAGACAACCGACGGAATCCTCCCCGCGAAGCGCCACAAAGCCGGTTGGGTTACTCACAAGGAGCTCTCTCGACTAAAGCGAGTTGCCGACGGCCAACATGACAACACTGTCCAAGTACAGGATGCTACCTACGATATCTGGGATATGCCCGCTGCGCCCAAGGAGAAGGAGGTCGACAACTTCCTGGCCGAGGAGGTCAAGCCCAAGGTGCCGAAGTCGATGAAGAAGGAGCCCCTATCTCTACTCGAGAGTGGAAAACAGATCCCTGCTGTTCTTAAGCCTGGTGGCGCATACAGTTATAACCCTGATTTCACGGACTACAGTGAGCGTCTAGAAGAGGAGAAGGAGAAAGCTCGTGAGGCCGAGAAGCAACGTCTCGAACAGGAAGAGCGAGAGCGAGAGAAGCAAGAGGCTGCCGCCCGATCAGCAGCTGAAGCAGAGGCCGCCGAGGCTCGCGCCAATCTTTCAGAGTGGGAGGAAGATTCTGAATGGGAAGGACTCCAGAGTGGTGCCGAGGACAGCAAGCCATCCGTTAAGCGCCCGCAGAGAAAGACGCAAACTCAGCGCAACCGCATTAAGCGTCGCAAGGAGGAAGAGCAGCTTCTAAAGCACAAGGCTGCCATCAAGGCACAGCGCCGCCAAGAGCAGCGCATCAGGGAGATTGCTGAGGAGATTGAGGAAAGGGAGCGCAACAAGGCCCTGGTTTCCAAAGATGACGACGCAACCGACCCCATCGACGAACTCCGCGAGGAAAAGTTGCGACGCAAGCAGCTTGGCAAGTACAAGCTTCCTCAGCACGATCTTGAGCTCGTCCTTCCAGACGAGCTGGAGGATTCACTGCGACGACTGAAGCCTGAGGGCAACTTGCTTCGAGACAGATACCGAAGCCTGCTGGTGCGCGGAAAGGTCGAGAGCAGGAGACACATTCCCTTCCACAAGCAGGCCAAGGGCAAGTACACGGAGAAGTGGACATACAAGGACTTCAAGATATAATAGACGATAGACCGGCGTCCGGGAGATTTAGCGAGAAAATAATATTGCGACTTTTTGCTACAAATATTGGACCCAGAACGCACCGTGAGCAACTCCCCTGACTGAATCCAGACATATGGCTCCCACATCGCAGATTCATGTCTAGCAACATAATCTTTTGCAACGCATCTAATACCTCCATACTAAGCTCCAACGCCACATAATCTAGAAAGGCAGCATATTAATCGTATCGTAAGGCAAGAAAATATTTCAAAAGCTCATAAGATCTGTTCCTGTTAGTAATGTTCACGGAGAGGGGAGGGGAAGATACGAACCACGTCCAAAAAGACCTCGCTTGGTCCAATCCATAGCCATCAAGAGGCGTGTTCGCAGACTCACGCTCTGCGCAAAATAGACAGATCGCCAAGCATAGACGGCCCAGAGGCCACCGGCTATGCTTCGACCTTCGCCCAAGTCAAAAATAGCAGAGTTACCAACATAAGCAAGACTGCCGAGATGCTTGTACTCGAAGGCCTTGTAGACGGCCGCATCAACGTCACCATCGCGGATGTCGTTGGCGTCCAGACCCTCATGCAGGCGTGACATGCGGTTGAACTTGCGAGCGAGATACTGCCCTTGCTGGTGAGCGCGCTGAGCGGTTGCGGGCAAGGATGTGAGCTTGTTGTCGACGTTACGGAGGAGCTGTGTCAACTCGTCGAAATCAAGGGTGCCGGACTTGTCCTTATCGAACTCCTTAAACAACCTATCAACTCGCTTAAGGTGACCGACAGCCTGTGGGAATCGCTTTTTGACATCATCAGCAACACTGCGCCAGTCGGCGAAGCTAAGCTGCAGGGTTTCGGGGTCCTTGCCTCGCTTCCAGGCTAGGGAGCGAAGGAAAGTGACGACGTGGTCGGCGACGTTGTTCTGAACGGTGGAGCAATCACCAATGGCGTAGACATCACCCATAGGCGAACCGTTGAGACGGAGGTGAGTATCGGTCTCGAGAGCATGTCGGTTTGTCTGACTCTTGCCCAGCTTGGCAGCCAGGGTTTGACAGAACTGAGTCTGCGAAACACCAGTAGACCAGAGACAGAACCCAATAGGGAGCTCCTTAGTAACGGTCTTACCACCTTCTTGCTTCTGTGTGAAGATGATCTTATCGGGAAGAACCTCCTTCACACGAGAGTTGGTCTGGACATCAACCTGATCCCGAGCAAATCGGTCCTCGGCATATCGTGAAACAGTTTCGTCGTAAGTGTTGAGGATATGGCTGCGGCTCTGAATAAGATGAACGGATATCTCGTTTCGTAGAAGGCGGGGGAAATGTCGTGTAAGGTCCTCGTTCAGGAGATCGAAGAGCTCTGCGGCAAACTCAACGCCAGTAGGACCACCGCCACTGACACAGAATGAGAGCAAGCGCTTGCGCTCCTCATTAGGGCAGGTAGGCAGATTAGCCAACTCGAAGTTCTGAATAACCTGGTTTCGGATCTTGCGCGCATCGTTGATATCCTTGAGGAAGAAAGCATTCTCTAGACCCTTGACACCGTGGGGGTTGGTGGTAGAACCAACAGCAATAACAAGCTTATCGTAAGGCACATAGAATCTGATATCTTTTCCGTTTGCGTCGGTCTGGGACACCTCCACCATCTTGTGCGAAAAGTCTACATCTTCAGCTCTGGCACGAATGAAGTGGCCATTGACACGGGCGAGAATTCTTCGAATAGGCTCAACCAGCGATCGCAACTCGAGAGTGCCAACTGTTGCAGAGGGAAGCATGGGGGTGAAAAGGAAGTAGTTGGTTGGCGAAATAACTGTGACATGGTAGTCGTCTGGGTTCAATTCTTTGAGCATCGCAACACCACCCCATCCACCGCCAAGAATAACCAGTCTTGGCTTGTCCTTTAGACGGCGGTGCTCTTCTGTGTCGTCGTCGTCGATGTATACTTCGGCAATTGGTAGGTTCTTGCTACCTCCACTGCGAGGTTGTAGGGCAATCTTTGAAACATCGATATCGCTCTGGTTGGGATGCTCGAAATATGTAGACGCATCATAGATGAAAAAACCAACGACACCAACGCCAATGGCGGATATCGAAATTCCAACCCAAGCAGCTGCACGATAGCAGAAGTTAACAAGTCGTGACTTTCCTTGGGGCAGTGGTTTTCCGGACAGGTTGCGCACGAAGAATTGGGAGGGGAGCTGGCGGGCTGTTCGGCTGGTTACTGCGGAACCTTTGGTGATCGAAGGAGAAGCGCCTGTGAGCTTGACGAAGCTTCGCGATTGCGACGGACGAGGAGATAGAGATGGTTTAATGCGAAGAGAGCTGTTAATGACTCTACTTTGACCAGCGCGAGCCAGTCGCGCGGCCATCATGGAAGATACAGGCATGATTTATGCCCAAGCTGGAATTATTCGTTGGGAAGGAAAGATAGAGAGCGTTTGGACGCTTGGTTCATGAGACGATGGAAACAGATGAGAGAGAAAGCACTCAATGGAGTGTGCAAGATGGTAAAGAGAAAAGAGAGAAAGGAAAATCAGTGTCTTTTGGTTTCGATGAATATTACTATGGTATTGTGTAATGCATTCAATGGATCTTCCCGTTTACGGAGCTGTTCAACCAGGGATAGCGTGGGCTGGCAGCTGAAAGTCCAGGTACTGTACTGTGGTGTACCTCCACGATTGTTCAGCTACGTCATGGTTAGAGCTGTCGCTCATCACAAAGCCAGTTCTTGGCGATCCATCCATGGCAATCGATCCATGATACGCTAATTACTCCACTGAAGAATACCACTTTAAACATCAATATTTCACTCTTTTTTCTCGTCATTAATAAACATGATCACAAAGAGAATTCATACAATACTAATTGGCATTTCAATTATTGGGTTACCTGTTCATCCGGATAACTCGGCTGCCGCTTCGGCCGACATTGCGTCAAGTAATAAATAGTATCACCGAGTGGATTCTTTTTTCCAAGCTCTGCTGTTAGCTGCGGCACTGCCATTTCTGTCCCATGGATCCTTGTTATCAATCGATTACTGATGAGATGACAGATGGTGGATCTCGGGACATGATAACTGACGTAGCAACTGTTATCCATTTATTTCTTATGCTTTACGTATATTCTGGCAATTTAGCCATCGGCCTTTCCACTACAGACTTCCCCGTCAATACTGACTCAATCTAGGGTAGTGACTATGTTGTGGTATGTTCCTCATGCCTTGCCTTTGAGCTCTTTCGTTGTGGAAAGATATATACTATACTATTCATGTAACAGTACTAGACTAGCAACGGAAATACCTCTTCTCTACCCATCGTTCCTGTTGGTAGTCGAGCATATTGCATACCACCACAGTAATCTCCGGGAATACAGATGTCAATCTGTGAAGACCGACCTTGCCTGCCGAGTATGTCGCCAAGACGATGCGATCCTGCTGCACACCGTGGTCGACCAAGACCTGCACCGCCATCAAGGCAGCACCACCGGTAGCCATTTGGGTGTCGAGCAACAAGACGCTCTCTTGGCTTGCGATATCATCGGGCAATCGCAAGTAGTGAAGTTCCGGCTCTCCCGTTGAGTAATCAGACTGAATGAGAAGTCGGCCTGTTCGGCAGTCCGGAATTGTCTTTCGTAGTGCCGGCTCGAATGCTGATCCTCCTCGGAGTACGATAACGGCGCAGACTTCGCCTGTTGACACGAGACCCTTGTATTCGTATCCTTGGGGTGTAACGATCTTCTTGGCCTCGAAGTGGGCGTTGTTAAGAGCCCTTTACTACGTTAGTAATTGCCCAGTTTCACGTTTCATCGGTTTCTTACTGTTCGATGATCAGGCTAGCCAGTCTATCAAAGTAGAAAATAAAGTCCTCAGGGTCCGTGTCGATATCCTGGAGGATGGTGTTCATAAACTTGAGTTGCCGTGTGTCGTTCAAAACCACAACCCGATCAGACAGAGGCGAATCCTTACTTGCGACCTCAAGTCTGGACAGGGCCTCTCGGTGATGTCTCGACTTTTCGAACAGCTTCTTCTCGACAAACTGAACCATCATATCTACAAAAGTAAGCCATGGGACACCTTAAAATCAAGGACAATACTCACCAAGGGCAACTCTGTTCTCGATACCTCTCGGCACGATCAAGTCGGCCACCTTACGCTGTGGCTCAACAAACTGGGAAGTTTTTAGCGAAATGCTGACATTTCTGAGGCGGCAGATGTACCTTTTCAAAGTTGGGCTTGACAAAGCCGAACCATTGCTTGATGATACCCTCGATATCTCGACCACGTTCTCGTACATCACGCACAACTATCATGATTGATCAGCGATCTTTTCATGTCAACCGCAATAGATCTAGAACTTACGTCTTCGTGATAAACATGTGTCGGCATCAGCTTCACAGTAGATCTTATCAATGGTCAGAGCCAGACCACCTTACAAGGATTTGCAGCAGCTTGAACTTACACCCATGTCAAGCAACTCAATTACTCGGGGGTCATATAGAGCAAAGATACCCTCTAGGACAAGTACGTGAGGTGAGTAGATGGATGTTGTATGTTCCAGTCGTGCGTGCTTCGCAAAAGAATAGACGGGGATCTCAGCTCGCCTTCTGTGAGTATGATGAGACGTCAGTTGAGTTTCTTGGTGCCGCGGACAGAGCTGTTGGCAGCTAGACGTACCCAGCTTTGAGATCCCTTAGCTTCTCAACCAGAACATCGAAGTCGATGGCCTATATAAGCAGACCATCAGTTACTGCCCCAAGATTTCATATCTTCACATGCAAGACAAAAAGCATACATCAGGAGAGTCAAAGTCATATTCATTGGCAAAAGCCAGCTTAGACTGCGCGGGAGTCAAGGTCTTATAGAAAGAGTCCTAGACATATAATAAGCATATTGTTTAACATATAGAGTTTTCAAGGGTTTCATGCCATGGACAAAATAACGACCCAGGGTAGGTTCAGCTTCTTGACGATAGCCTGGGACAAGGTCGACTTGCCCGAACCAGAGCTACCCGCGACACCGATAATGCTGACATCGGCCCAAGGAGGTGAATAGTAGGCTCGCTTCTGAACCGTGACATGACTTTCAAGTCCGCCGCCATTGGTTTCAGGGATTGGAGAGGCGGACATTGCGGTGGGCTAGTTCTCGATGAGGTCACCGTCACCCTGACTTTGGCTGTGAAGTTAAAAAAGTAGAGAGGCTTTGGATAAACAAAGGGCCGATGGACGGTTCGACAGCAGAAGAGCTACAAAAACTCTCCTCTCTCCGAAAACTAGCCCTGCAATGTCCACGAGCTGTATGGGCAGTGCAGCGTCTTCAAACTTCGATTTTGAGGGTTTGGTTCTCGCCCGTTCTTTGGTGGAGCAGCCTGAGCACGGCCCTGTCGCGTGTGTGATCCACAGAGGGCCAGCAAGAAGCGGGAACAGAGACAGGACAGAGCTTCAGTGAAATGCTCGAGGTCGAGGATGAGTAGTTGTTGGTGCAGCTGTTGACGATATATAAAACAAGTAAGTGGATAGAGATATATAGATAAAGTTGGCGGTAAATCAAGAGTGAAAGAGGGATGATCAGCTAAGCTCAAGCAGGCCCTGCTCTCGGTTTTGACGATCGACCTGACCTGTTCAGGGTTCTCCTCATATCTGGCTGGTATCTGTCGAAAGACGGCGATGGCCGAAGGCGCATTGCATTCTCCGCACGATCCAAAGTGCTACTGCACAAGAGTCAAGAGATAAGCTAGGTCTAGTCCTGTCCTGCTCTACCGTGTCCGTAGCCATCACGCCTCTAGCTCAATGTCATGGTGACCTCTGTTGAAGGCAGCGTGGCTTGGCTCCAGACATTCGCCCTGTCTGGGTTACGGTACCATGACCATGACAACGTGTGTTTTGATTGCAACCTGGTAGCTTTATCGGTATTTCTCTGGCTATTGAGTTGAGAACTGTCACATCTAGGTTGTCATGAGGGTCATATCATGGGAAGTAATGCTTGAACAACCCACGTTGATATTGGTAAAAGCCGTGCGACGAGATGGATGGATGCTAAGCCGCGGCATCAACCGCCCACGAACTGTATGGGTAGCTCATCTTCAGGGACCAAGCCAGGTGGGTAACAGAAAAGCTGTTCATCGAAGCTTGTGAAGTCAAAATAAAGTAGTCTGGATGCCATGCCAAGCTAGCTTAAGATGACCATATTATTTCGTCTCTTGTGCTTTCGGCGCACCTTAACCCAAGCCTCCCCCGCAGCGCTGCTACTGCTTTCGTCTCTGGCGGGGCGGTCATCGATGGAGACCTGAGGCACACAGGGCATGAGATCTGGTGGATCATGACGGCCTTGTGATTGGCTGCCAAACCCTGTAATGAGGCTGCAGGTTTTTGACCCACGACTCGGGGCTTCTTTTCCTCCAGCCCCCAATCATCTTTTCTTCTCTTCCCATCTTCCATCAAACTTTCTTCTCTGTTTCTTTTCTTTACATCGCTCAGAAAAGTTTTCTGCCAGCATTATTAAGATCTTAACAAAAGATCTTTGGGCTCGATTCTCCATGCGCTGAATCGCTGACCAGCCTCTATTCGGCTATTGCTTCTCCATCGTACCGTCGATTAACAGTTTCTGTTCAAGCTTCGAGTCGAAACGAAACGTGTCGTGTGGTTGGGATACTTGATCAAAATGGTGAGCTTTATTGTTGGCAAGCCGAGCTTCAGCCCAAGCTTTCTGTAAAGCTGGGCGCTGACTCGAGAATCAGACGTCATCTGCTTCTACAGCTACTCCATCCAAGCATGCCTTTGACAGGCGTGTTGAAGATGTGAAATCTCCTAAAAGGTACGATACAATCCCCCTACTACTCCAACACTATGCCCCCTGGTGAAGTGATGATCGCACTATCAATGGGAATCTCTCCTAGAATATATAATGCGGAGATACGATATCAATCTTCTTGTCTGAAATCACCAACATACATCTCGTTTTTGCACTTGTGTTATATCAACAGTTGCTAACGATTTCAACAGTGATATCAATGCCTTAATCCTGGATTATCTCACTATGGAGGGCTATCCTAACGCAGCAGCCAATTTCTCCAAGGAGGCCAACCTGGCCCCTCACCAGGAGACCCCGTCTATCATTGCCAGACAGGAGATCCAAAATTGTATACATAGCGGCAACATTCAAACAGCTATTGAAACACTGAATGATTTTGATCCAGAGGTAAGAACTTTCCAGCAAGCGACACCTTTTGCCTATATGATTAGAACTCGAGTTTTACATGCACCACTCATAGAGCCTTCGGGCCTTTGATGAGGAACAACCACTTTTTTATGATTGTCCTTTGTTTCCACTCTTTTATCACCCATTCTTGACCAAGCCGTCGCTGACTCAACAAAAAGATTCTAGATGAAGACAAAGCACTGCATTTTTCGCTGCTACGACTTCAACTTGTCGAACTCATTCGTACCTGTAATACGCCTGGTAGCGACATTGGGCCTGCGCTCAAGTTTGCCACTGAGCAACTGGGCCCCAGAGCACCAACAAACCAGAAATTTCTCGGAGATCTCGAGAAAACCATGTCATTGCTTATGTTCCCCTCTGACAATCTTGAGCCGGAACTAGCAGCTTTGTTGAAGCCAGAACTCCGTTTAGAAGTAGCTGATAACGTCAACCGTGCGATCCTGGAACGCCAATCGCAAAGACGCGAATCGGCAATCCGCCAGCTAGTGAGAATGCGCGTCTGGGCCGAAAATATTGCTCGCGACAAGGGCAAAAGTATCCCAGAGTATCTGGAACTTGGCTTGAACACCGACCTGTCTGGGCATGGTAGAATGACTTCCCAGGCAGGCAATGGCCATGACCCCATGATTACAACGTGACATAATACCCGACCTGAAAATATGGTCAGACTAGTCTGGTTAAGTGGTAAAGCGCTGGTTATCGTAACAGTTCTTAGCTCGGCGTTTGGGTTAATGTTTTTATCCTGGTAAGGATTAGAGTGCAAAACCAGTATCAGGCACTGGTGTTTGGAGCGACTTGATAGTTGTCGTCTACCGCACCGTTAGAATCCATAGCATTCGGGAAAACAATGAATCATGAGCTGATACATGGTGTTATACAACGGTGATTTCTATGCAATCATATAACGGACTTCGATCCTGAAACACAACGAAAATGAGCCTTTAAAAATAAAACATATTTACATGAGAGCCAGGCTGTCCAAGCCGTCTATTTCGTCCTGATGTGCTTGAGCTTCCTGGCAGAGTACAGGAAGTTGTTGGCATACGCCTTGGGAGCAAACTTGCGAGAGTTGGGTTCCTGAACAAAGTATTCGTAGCCCTGCTTCTCGGCGAAGTGAATGGCGTCCTCCTTGCTCGCGAAGTTGATGTGAGTGCCCTGCATAAAATCGCCCGAAGATTGCCAGCCGATCAAAGGGTTCTCCCATCGGTGTCCCTTGGGGAGAATGTCCCAGTCCATTCGCCAGCGTCGACCGCGCCAGTCACCAGACTGTGTAGCGGGTTTGGCCTCCTGGTAGATGCTATCGTTGTTGTCAGCTCCGAGTACTTTTACGGCGACATCGAATTCTCAGATGGTATTGACGAACCGAACTGTTCGGGCCTGGAGCTCCATGGGAGCGCCTGAGATAATAGCGGCGGGAAGGATCTCCTCGCTGCCATCCTGGATATTTCGAGGGACGGGGGTGTAGGTACTGGCGGTATGTCAGTACTCCAATTCCATTTGGCAATATTCAATCGCGTATCGAGGAGTCGTACGAAGTAGCCTTGTCAGCCTGAATGTTGTAGTCGGGCTCGCTGGTAACGGGACCAGTGATGGTGCCGCTGGCCTGTGTGACGTTGCTCTGGAATCGTCGAGGTGCGGCGGCGAGGGCGACTCGGGGAGCGGTAGCGCTTCGCAGCATGCGAGCCGCACTCTGGGATCGGAGGGCGGCCATAATTGCAAGGCTTCAGCTTTCAATTGGCGATGGTGGGCGTAACGTTTCTAGAATGAGTGATGGTGGGCTGCGGCGATATTCTGAGGTTGAAGCAAGCTTGAACAGCGGGTTGCTGATTGGGTGGAGCGGATCAGTAGTTTCGCCGAGGTCGCGGAACGAGTGCTTTTCGGCAAGAACCTGAATCTGGGCGGGACAAGATCCATCTCGACAGAACCTCATTCTCCAGCCTTTAATTGAGCGTCATCCAGATCCTCGACGGACCCAACGCGGCAATTGACAAATTCCCGAGTCTCGAATCCCCCGAAACACCGACATCATGAGCTTCGTCACCCGCCGAGCGCTCTCGACGCTCATCCCCCCCAAGGTGAGCGAGCCCCTTCGGTTATGGGCGCAAACGCCCGGTGCTCCGATTGATTCCGTTGCTAACATCAAAAATCCAGGTCGCTTCTCCCAAGGTACGCAACACACGATAATATTATTTTCTTCTGGAGCTTCGATTTCGATCCCGACGACTTTTTGGATGGGCGAGATATGATGAGGACTTTTTTACTGGACGATCGATATCGATGCGAGGGAAAATCCACCATGACGAAGATTTGGAAGGCTGACCGAGTTCGATTCACCACAGGCCATTGGCGCCGCTCCTGATGCCATCCGCATGCAGCGTGTCGTCAGCTTCTACGAGAAGCTTCCCCGAGGTGCCGCCCCCGAGGTCAAGGCTAAGGGTCTCCTCGGCCGATACCAGGCCAAGCACTTCGGCAAGAACCCTACTGCCAAGCGTACGGATACCCAAACTCAAGACGAACATGATTCACGGATTCTGACTTTATTGTATAGCTATCATTCATCTGATTGTCTTCCTTGTCAGCATTGGTTACGTCCAGAACTACTACTTCCACCTTCGTGAGTATCTCTAGGATGAAACGGGGAATGAATATCGTTTGCTAACGCAGGAATCACCTAGGCCACCACAAGAACAACGCCCACTAAGCAATAGTGGCTTTTCGATACCTTAGACGGATCATTGTGTGAGAGGGAGCGGGGGTCGTGTACATATAAACTCCGGAAACTTCGCGGTCGAATACGCGACTTAGCTTCCCTATGTATCTCTAACAAGCAAGTGAAGTGACACTACTATCACGTTTTGGTTATGTGCTGGTCTCTATATGAACCCATGAAGCTGGCTGTGCTTAGGGAAGCTTCCCCCTGTGTGCATGGTCTGATGCGATCTGTGAGCGTTTTCAGCAACACTTGTTTGTGATACTCGTTGGTGTTTGACAGGGAAGTTTCTGGCCACAAACTCACCTGAAAAGGTGAAGAAGACGACACCGATGTTTTGTCCTTGTGTTCAGTCATGACCATCTTATGAACAGAGATGTGACATCAGCAATACGAACTCAACTGTTCTAGCATCCCTGTTGAAGCAGTTTGGAAAGCACATACCAGGCTGGAACCAGACTTTCATTCTGAGCTCGGGAACCGTTATATGACGTCTGGTCTGGTGGAAGCCACCAAAGTTATACAGGACACTTGTAGTTGACTCAAACCAGAGCTTTTGTCTTACCTACCTTCACAGATGGCGCAAATGATGGTCGAGCGAACAAATGGGCTACGCTAATGAACAAGTTCAGTGAGTCTCCTGAATGTTACCTATTCACATTGCTTTTGCTAGTTCAGGATCATGTCAATCTGACTCGTTTTGGTCAGGCTGCATTGCCGGTCGAGTCATACGGCTCCATGCTTGATGATAATCCAATCGTAACTTAGACATGGAAGCCCTGGAGAATCCCCTAAGCTCCAGGGCCTTACAGCTGGCAGCTGTGACAGCCCTGCCACTGGCTGCCAGGGACCGGGAGCGACTTTAATGGATTAACGGGACCTGCTGGCCAATGTCAGCCCCCTGTCATTCGAGCGCTAGACCTATCCCAGCCCCCAACATCGTGCTGAAAACTGGCCGTCCCTCTACCTTCCACATCACAACGCCTTCAGCCGCAGTTACTCCGGGTACATTGAAACCTCACCTTACACCTCGTAACTGACACGCATCGCAGTTTGGTGATTCCCTTCCTCACTCATATCTCCTCTCTCGCGACTTCGGATCGAGCACCATTCTCGCTACATTGCGCCCGAACGACGATCGGCCCTTTATATCCGAAATATCCCCTCGTCTCCCCCGCAACTCGACATCTCTCTCTCCCCGCCCCGCGGTGACTTGTCGCAGCTGATCCTGACTTCGAGATACGACATTTCGTTCACTTTTTTAAACGCTAGTCCGACCGAAGTATAACGAGACTAGGCGGAGAAACTCATTTTGAGGGCTTCTTTCGCTTACCACACGACCGGCGCATTCTTACGACGTATGATGGCAACAGAGGCTGCCGTTGATAAAGCTGCCGATGCCACTGCCTCTCAGTCCCAGCCTGTACGTTTCATCTTGTCCGTTATGTTCATGGCCGTTTGCAACGGTCGGAGTTTGACCTCAAACTTTGGCTCTTTGTTGTTTATTTGGGCTGAGAGCTCGAGCTACCAGAGCTATGGAACCTTACTAACATACTTTCTCATGAACTTAGGCGCCCGACGCTCATAATGTCGACCCCGTCCGCTCGAATTTGAATGGCAGTGCCGGCAACGATGATATTGAGAACAAGCACATTACGAGTGTCGAAGATCAACTCACTTCCGCCGATGCTAGTGCCAGCGGAGGGTCAGATACGGAGGCATCGCGTGCCGATGGTTCAAAGAGCAAGGATGAAGACAAAGGGCATGGTCGCGCAGGCTCAACGGTTAAGAAACCCGCCACATTTAAATCTGTCTCTGTCAACAAGACCTTCCTCGCGACGAAAGCGGCTGCCAACAGCGCTTCAGCCAAGGTCGCCGAGAAGCAGCCTGCCGGCTCTAGTACCCCCCCAACAAGCTCGGCCACCCTGTCTTCCTCGCGACCTCGACTTATAGCCAAGACGGGTAGCAGCACGCGAGACTCATCACCTCGGCTTTCCGGTGGTGTTAATGGCGGGAAGCCTGGTAGTGTGCCAGATGCAAGTGCAGTGTGGAACAAAAATCGACGTATGTGGTTTTCCCATTACTAACTTTACCCCTGATGTACTAACTCATATTTAGCTGTACCTCCCCCTGAACCCAAAAAGTTTACTGATGAGGAGCTAAAGAAATATGGCATTCATATGGCCAGTCGCCTGAATGAAGATGATGCGCAAGGACAAAACAAGTGGGCGGACATTGACGATGATGATGATGATTGGGCCCCTGAAGCTATCACCTGGGGTGATGGCACGAAGACAACCCTTCCTCACCCAGATGAACATCCCCCACCACCATCCGACAGTGGATCTGTTGCCTCGAAAGGCAAGACCTTCGAGAAACCACGATCTCCAGCTCCTCCGATATCTGTCAGCTCCCCATTAACGAAATCGAGTAATCTTGCCCAAGGTAAGGGACTTGTGCTGAAGAGCGGCTCTCAGGATAAGCCAACTCTTGTTGCCAAACCCCCAGCACCTCCGGCACCGGTCAAATCCCCGTGGGCGACATTGCCTCCTGTTGAAAAAGCGTCACCGATTACGGAGAACGCCAGCCTTGCTAGACCACCTTTCAACAAAGGCATGACGCCTCCTCCACCCAAGGAGATCGCAGCCGATGACTTTAACCGACATGCATGGAGAGATAGCGCACCCCACGGAAACCGAGAGTTGTATAACTCCCACTCTGGACGCTATGAGCCTGTGCAAGACAATCGACGTGGTTCGATGAGAATGGAGCAGCATCCCAGGCACCATCCATCTTTGTTACAACGACCACCTCAACCGGATTACCCAGCTGAGCCCTCTGGCGCGTTCCAAACGAACAGAAACACCCAGGAACCTCCTTTTGGTAGACGACGAGGATCTTCTAATGTCAGCGGTGGAAGTGGCTCGTTCGCGCGCATGAACAAAGGAGGCGACGGGTCGCTTCCTCCTCCAGAACTACATGATGCTCGCAGACCGTCTTTTGTTGGCTCTGTTGACAGTCCTTTATCGCCAAACCTCTCAAACTCAGCACATGGACCGACAAGGGGACAGCATCAACCTAATTGGATGCCTCCCCGCGCTTCCCCCAATCCCGCTTTTGCGCAACCACACAACAACGGGCCTCTCCCAGAGCAGGTTGCTGGACCGCCCCCTCCAGTTCACCCTGCCGGCGACGAGGTCGAATATCAGAAGAAGCTCATGCGAGAACGCGTTGAGTTGGCTAGAAAGCGACGACAGGAGGAAGAAGCTCGTGAAGAAGCTGAGCGTAGAGAGCGCATTCAAAAGAAGCTGGATGCCATGGGACCTGCACCTGAGAAGAAGACTGAGAAGAAGGAGTCTGTAGATAAGTCCGAGGAGGTTGTGCATCCTACACATATTCAACAGCGAGAGAGTCCCGGAGTGCCGACACAAACCTCGGCCCAGGCCCAAACGGATGGCGATCACTCAGCTACTATACAGCAACCACAGGACCCCGATGGTAAGATAGGACACTCTCCCCAAGGCCCCGGAGCCGCTGCCAGGCGCGTATCACATAGCCAGGAAGCTAAGCCTACTGAGCTTTGGGGAGCAGCTGCAGCTTCAAGACAGGACCGAGCCGTTTCGACCTGGGGTACAGGTTCGCAGCCAGTGGCTCGTAATGTCTGGGGCTCCCCTAACAACGACCGAGGCCTTGGCAACGGTACATTTAACACGGATATTGGCCGCTTGCCTTTGGATGATCGCCCAGGCTCCCAAGGAAGCAAGGGACCGTCACCTATTGCTCCTCCTCATGCTTCACAACAGCCCCCACAAGGTCGACAACAGCCTCCGGCACCTATTGGCTCCGGACCTTCCCGGTACGGTGCCTCCGGCCCTCGCCCCCCACAAGGCTCTGACGTGGCGAGCAAATGGGGGATCAACGCTGTTAGTGAGAATGATAGAAAGATGAGCGCTGAGCGATTAGCTGAGAAGGTTGAGCGTGATCGGCAACTCGCTGAGCGCGGTCTAACCCTCGAAGATGCTCAACCGGTTATCAAGAATACCTGGCGCCAGGTTCATGCTCCTGGAGATGGTACTCGTCAATCTGTTGGTCCTCAAGATTCACAGTCTGCTGGTCCCTGGAGGACTGCTGGCGATGAAATACACGAGGACCCTGCTAGTATTGGTGCGGTTGGTGGAATGCCTGGAGCAGCGGCCTCGCAAGGTCGCACTTCACGATTCTTCCCTACAAGGGACTCTTATGACAGGATCAATGAGAACGAGCCATCACGATCGAAATCACCAACCCCTCCGCCACCCACCATGGAGGGCCACCCGGCCTACGAGGGTAATGCAGATCGACCTCATGTATCACTTCCCCGACCACAGCCAGTAGTAAGACTGCCACCATCTCTGGCAGCCTCGCAAACTCCTGCAAGTCGCGTGCAATTCGGCTGGGCTCAACCTCCTAGCTTTAAAGATGTTGCACGCGGCCCTGTCAGCCCTAACCGTCTCCCCTTGGCAGCCGGCGAGACATCGCAAGAGAAATGGCAGAATCGAATCAACAGCTTGCTTGGAAGTTCGAGATCACCACCTCAAAGGTCAATTGGCGTCGACCCTGCTAGCAAGAGCGCTTTAGATCAGGTTGCCCACCACGACTCTGCCACAGTGTCTTTGCCTGGCAACAATGCCCCAGCTCACTTTGCTAAGGGTAAATCGTCACCAGTCAGCAAGCCTATGGCTGAGGAGTGTTTCGAAGAACAGGAAATGGGATCCCTCCCCCAAATCCGACTACCTCACAAAGCTCCTGAAGCCGCTTGGCAGCCAGCGCCGGCACAGAACAAGCCGTTGCCGAAGAAGTTTACGGTTCAACCAACTGTTATGGAACCATACTACTTCGCTGCTGAAGTAGTAGGTGGAGGTAATGCCATGAGAATTCGTTTACCTGAAATGAAGGAGACCAAGATTGTCACCGTACCCTTTTCCGCAACTAGAGGCGGCCGAGGCTCGTCCAATCGAGGTGGCCCTAGGAGTCGAGGCCCCGGTTATGAACGTCGAGGTGGAAAACGAGATGTGTCAAGCTCGCGAGGCGAGCATCCCGCACCAACCTCAAGCCGAGGAGGTCGTGGCAGTTACCGTGGTCGAGGCTCTGATTGGGGCCGTAGCAACTCGGCCTCGTTGACTGCTTAGGAAATCAGTACGTGCTGGAGGACCCCCATCGAGATGCCCTGCATAGTATCACAATAAAGTGATTCTGCCACGCAACAAGAGCAGAGCATCTTGTAGTTTACCCATGTTCTGTGGACGTTTGGGCCTCCTTGCTCAGTCAGTACATACCAACTCACGAAATCTCCAATCGATGATCGCCCCGGCATACCACTGGAACGAGCTTTCACCTATACCGCCTGTGTATTCAAATACTGCATACAGGCTTCATACATCGTGTTGGCACTTGTTTTATCTTATGCTTAGGCCAAACACGCGATACGCCCTTTCTACTTTTTGTTCTTCTTTTCCCTTCTATAGCAAACGGCGGTCTGTTCGTTCACATTATCAGCATACATGGGCGAGCTTAGCTATTAATGGAAACGATGACAATACCGCGGAACCGGGAATTTTAACAAGACCCCCCTCCTCTGAAGGCCTACTACTACCTACAATAACCCCTACCGAATGGAAGAACATACGCCATGTTCTCAATGATAGAGATGGCGTCTGAGTAACAAAAATACAAATGACTCTGGGTCCGGGACTGGGTGCTTTTCGCGATAATTGATGTGTTGAGGCCTTTTTTTTATCAAATTCTTACTTTATTTTTATTCTTCTTGTATGAAAGGACCTGGATCGGATGCACAGCCGCAATTCAGAAACGACCACTATGGACTTATGGAGAGACTCATGATGATGGATGGGGAAATGATGAGAGTTTCGACGCAGACTGAAATGGGTGCGTACGAGGCTTTGACAGACAGACAGATAATTGATCAATCATACAAATTTAAGCGAATGTTATGTGCCAGATGAGTGTGAATGTATGCAGCAACTTGATTCAACCATGCAAGAGTTATGAATGAGATCGTATATACGGATAGGAGTGCGACGTTCTATTACTGCATGCCCATACATTAATGCCTAGGTATCTATCATTTAACATCCTCGTAAACAACATCCATTCTAAAAGTCCCATCCAGACCATGATATGTACAGTCGCTCACAGCAAGATCATCGACGGTGTACTATCATAAACTCCAAAAACGCCCTTCCTTCAAGGCGTTAGTCATGACAAGCGCATTAACCACACAAAATTCTATACTCTTTTCAAATCAATGACAGGGAACTAGACTTCCTCCAGGGCACAGTTGGGATGTAGAACGTAGACGACTTGGCCAGCTGTTGAAGAGCTTGCTTCGCCATCTGTAAGACCCTCGCCTCGTAGAGCCATGAGAATATTTTCCTGGAGCCAATTTAGTCTTGCTGTTCAAATAAGTAGGGATGTATGTCAAACTTACCTTGACCATCTTCTTGAGTACCATGTTGGCCAGGGCCTTTTCACGATGGTAGTCTTCCTCGCCCTCAAGTTCATCCTCCTTCTGCTCGAGGTACCAGTTGATCAGCTCCTCGCCCTCGACGCCCTCGGCAATAGTGGCCTCGTCCTCGTTGATACGCTGAACGAACAGGTTAACCATCTTGATGTAGTTATCGTAGGTGATGGTTTGCTTCTTCCTTTCAGGAGCGACGCTGCTGCGGCCAGGCTGGTCGTCCTCCGCCATGGAGGCATCGCCCTCGAGATCCTCGCCATGAGCGGCACTTGCGGCGCGGAGCAGCGTTTCAGAGTCTTCGACAGGCTCTTCATCGTAAACTTCAACATCATCGTGTTCGACGGAGATGATACTCTGGCGCAGAAGATTATAGGCCTCCACAACCATTTCAGTGCTGATCTCCTCAACACAGTTGACCTTGGCGATGGCTTCTGAAAGACGGATCATACTCTCCAGTTGACGCACGGTAATTCGGTAAGAGTTCTTGCCAACGCCTCCCTGAGCATCATCAGCTCGGATTTCCTTGTATTTCTCCACGAGGACCTCCTTGGCAGCCTCAGTGAATTCGGGGCGGAAGGTCCTGGCGAAACGGATATACCGCTGAAGCTGTTCAGTGCTGAACTCAGGCTCGACAGCCTCGTCACGAAGTTGGTGAATGCCGACGATATGCTCTGCCAAGTGACGGTCGATCTGCTCGTTGCACTCATCGAGAACGACGAAGAAAAGATCGAAACGAGACATGATAGGAGCGGACATGTTGATGTTGGAACGAAGAGTTGTCTTGCGGTTGTAACGACCTCCAACGGGGTTGGCAGCAGCGAGAATACTTGTTCGAGCGTTGAGCGTGGCTTGGATACCAGCCTTGGCGATGGAGATAGTCTGCTGTTCCATAGCTTCGTGAATAGCAACCTGATCGGCAATGTCCATCTTGTCAAACTCGTCAATGGCACAAACACCGTTGTCTGCCAACATCAGAGCACCAGCCTCAATGGTGAACTCTCCTGTCTCCTCGTCCTTGACAACCGCTGCCGTGAGACCGGCGGCAGATGAAGCCTTACCACTGGTGTAAACAGCACGAGGCGCAAAGGAGCAGATATACTTCAAAAACTGAGACTTGGAAGTGGACGGATCACCGACAATGCAAATGTTGATGTCGCCTCGAAGCTGCATGCCCTCAGCAGTACTCTTGTGAACACCGGACATTAGTTGAAGGAGTAGACCCTTCTTCACAACCTCGTGCCCATAGACCATGGGGGCAATGGATTGCACGAGCCTCGAATAGATGTGATCGCCGTGCACCATAGCTCGAAGGTCCTCGATTTCAGATGGGTTCATGGATGCCAGAACAGCAGCCTGGGCTTCTTCTACAGATTGCTCACCATCGTTGGCGGAGTTCTGTACCAACGAGTTGACTATATCGGCAGCACCGCTGGTGGCAGACTGGCCAGTTGAAGATGTGTCTGGATTGACCATGCAGGCAAGGAAAGCAAGGCGATATGTCAAGTCACGAACACCAAGTGCCTTGAGACCACTGACTCCACTTCCACCAGCGTCCGCTCCTCGAGGCGCATTGCGATCATCGCGCATGGCAGTTGGTCGTGTACCAGGAAGACCGAGTTGGCTGACATCGGGGACGACGATCAAGGCACCTGTAAAGATACACTTCTCTCCGGCCTTGGCGCGATCGACAATTTCACCTCGCAGAATAACGTCCATGGTTCGAGGCATGCTACCTGTGGGAATTTCGGAGCTGTTCTCCTGAATTCGCACCTTTTGCCAATCGACAAAAGTACTACGTCGGATATCGAGCGCCCAGGCCATGCGGTTTTGACATGTCGAATTGGGACATTGTGTAGGTTCAGTGTATCGGAAAGTCTGCTCAACGTTGGGCACGACTGTGCGACAGGCCTCGCAGGTGAAAGTGGCCAAAGACAACTCGGGTCGGACTTCTGATGTTCGGGTGACGGTTCCAGAGATGGAAAGGAGTTGGCCAATGTTGGTAGCTCGAAGAGCACGGACTCTTGACACTAGGGGTAAATTGTAGAAAGCAATTGAGAAGAGCTTATCGGTTTGCTGATGCTCGTTCTTTCGGTGAGACGACTCAGTTTGGTCGGCGGAGCCCAGATGACTGGCTGCAGAGGTTGTGAGGTTGCTCGAAGCGGTAGGCTGGCGATGCTCACGGAAGTATAGAGGTTCGTATTTGGCGATCATGTTGTGTAAAGCAGCGGTGAGGAAGGGTAAGAATCGATAGTACTGTCGCATCACACCGTCTGCCAAACTGCCATTTTCATATGAAGCCAGATGTCTATAGTCAACGTAGAAGGTTGAGAGGGAGTTGATGCGCATGCCCTTGATCATGGCAACGTAGTGTTTGTCAGTAGTGACTGCGCTGGGTGTAGGGGCACTCGGTGTAGGAGCGCTGATGGGATCCTCTTGAAAGCTATCGTTCGAGTAGAAGTATTAGTTGGTGGTTTTCTGATGTTGCTGATGCAGCACCGGGGACATACTTCTCGATGAAGGACTCGAAGTGCTCCTGAACCAGCAGGCCAATTCTGTCCTCGACACGGCTAATCTCAGCAGTATTGTTAATCCTTGAACTCCTAGGAACCTGATCGTCTGCAAATTGATCACCCTCATCATCACTGGGTGCGCCTCCCATACTCTCCGAAGGAGGACCTCGTGGGCGCGATGCAGAAGACGAGGGGAAGCCATAATTGCGTCTGGAGGTGGCAGGAGCCCGGGAGGGGGCATCCGACATCATGAAGCCGGCATCGCTCGAAGGAGTAGCCATTGCGGCAGATTGTTGAAGTGATCGTCTGGTATAGGGGTATCGAAAGGAGAGAGGTGACGATGCACTTGTTTGGGTTGAATGATTGACTCTTTTGGTGGTTGGTTGATTGTTGAATACTGTATAGTACTGCACCTATCGAGGGGGAGATTTTAGTTGCCAGGGCAAAGGCACGGGCACTTTGTGGGGTTAGCAATGGCACTACTGCTTATTACAGGGCGACGCGCTCTGACGCGTCGAGGGGTTATCAACGTGTCGCGACTTTAATTGATTGCATTTAAATATCATCCAATGAGGTGTCATTCTTGGAATCTCGGGTTATACATGAATTCGGTATCACCAATTGATTGATTCGAATACTAAGGATACGAGTATGTTTAGTGTTCTCCAGTAACTTGCAGCTTATCTAGTGAAGAATTGCAATATGTGAATCTGTGTCCAACAATATCTTCCATGTTCACTCGGGATAGCCTCAACCTTATACCGCCATAGTTGTAGAACTCAAAATGATAGATGGATCTTCGAGGCCAAGTATATGAGCCTTTATTACAGTGTTCAGTTATGGTGCATAATGGAGGTTAGATAATAGGCAAGCACATGCGATGCAGACATAAAGCTAGAATTTCAACACAGTTCAAAACGCTGCAAGGATCGCTGGCTATTGCGTTGTAACTGGATGTTGATTGAACAGTGGATTCGATCAATTATGATGAATTGTAGGGGAACAAAGATACATACTGCAACGTCTAAACAGCAACGGTTTCCAGTTTCTCATATTTGATGCGAATAAAGTTGCTTGTTTCTCTTAACAGACCAACCTGCACTCCATCATCAGGTATTTGTAACTACCTATTCACATATTAGTAGTTTCTTAGTATACAAAGTATCTGATTTTATCTAGCAAGTATCTGCTTGGCTAGACAATTAATTGGAGGTGTGGGATGTGTAGGGCAGGGGCCTGCCTCAAAGAAACACATAATCCATCAAGTTCTTTTTATTAGGTATTATTGTTACATCCATAAACTTTACCTGGATGCAGACACATAATTGCTTGTACTAAATACGAACTACATCTACTTAGTCAAGGTGCTGACAGTGGGAGAAGACCTCGTCATGCTGCAGGCTCCCCTCTGGCCCACATATCCAAACTCAAGCGAACTCGGCAATAACCACGGCACAAGCAACTCTAATGTGGATGTACTGTACTGATCAAATCTTAACTTTCCAAGCTCCAGGTACGACCAAGCTAGAAAAGCAAGTAAGAAAGTAAGAAGATAAAAAGTTCACCGTTGCAGGTAACGGCCAGCCATGCCCGAACCCTATCTCAACGGCAGCGGTTGAAACATACCTACCTACCTACGTAACATACGCTAGCAGATCCTCTGATACAAAACATGCAATGCAATACAACACAAACATCATAGCGCTCCAGTCAGCAATAAGAGTGAGTCATCCCTCTCAACATGATTCTAATGCAGGGTCCTTGTGACACTCACGCCCCCCAACTGTCCACATGTAATCTTAACGCATGCCGAAGCTCCATCACTATGACTATCTACCGGGCCAACGATGATCAATAACTGAAGTCACCCACGGCAACAACCCGTCCGTTTCTTGGTCACTATCTACGGAATGGGACACAATCAGGTCATGGCTTTCCAAGATTATAATTATCCGTTATTCTAGCCTGCCTAGTCTGCAAGAATGATATACATTCCTACCCTACCCTACCCTAACCTTTAACCTATATGCAAAAAAGTAAAACGCCTGCCTGTCTACAGACGATGTGAAGAGTGAGAGAGCCATACAGAACAAGGGCATCGGAATGCACACAAAGGGTATAATGCCTATTGACCAAAATCCATCCAAACCAGATATATCCCAGCGGGCTAGGGTGTAAACTCGACGTAAATAATAAGTAGAGGCCCCATACAGTCTCCTGACATCCCTTCGTTAAAAAAGTGCCGTGCCAACTACTTTGGCATTCCATTCGTATCCATAATCCAGGTCAGGTCATCCCATCTATCCTGTAAACATTGAAGATAAAAAACAATAGCAAGCCAATAACAAGCCAATAAAAGTCTATCGTGTAGACCCAGTACAACAAACGCGTGTCCGTAAAAGATAAGAGAAACAGGGAATAAAGGAAAAAAGTAGGCGCCAAAGTCTATACTACCGTAAATAGCCTATTGGGCGAAATGGGGCAACCGTCTTGATAGAGACATAAGATAAATAAATGCCATGGTGTGCGTGCCTCGTGAGGGCGACAACAACAATGACCCAAGATTGACAAAAAAGCTCAAGCATCATGAAAGAGAAGCTGGAGAAGGACGCCTAGAAACGTCGTGCGCAAGCTCGAAGACAAAGTGTAGCGTAGGTGGCGTATATGTTGGTGGTGGTGAAGTGAAGCGTCTCGTGATTGGGCAAACGGCCATAGGTCGACAGGTGATCCCTGCTTTGCGCTCGACGGATCTACCCGCCAAGTCATGGTTGGGCCCTAGGCCGCTTAGCTCCAATTGATCCATGACCTCGAGGAGGGGGTGGTGGAATGATACTGTAGAGTCTCCATACTCTGTGCGCATGACCATTCTCGAGGCACACGCTAGAAAAAAGAAGATGGGGGTCCAAGACCAAAGAGTCGCGATAATCCCCGAGAAAAGGGCCCGAGCCGTAGATCCTGTTGATTGTTGTGAGCTCAACTCCATGACAGAGACAGGGTGCGGCGCCTAGAGCATCGTCGCAGCTCACAGCCACCATCTGCACGTCCAATGGCGCCATCATCAACGGGAGCTTTGAAGCAAACATGGAGCTGAAAGGGCTGCCTCGAGGGAACATGGTGTCTTGCTGACGTCTGTCATTGGTATGCGCCACAACACCTGACTCTGCCCCACGACCCTCCTCCCCATGTTCACGAGGCTGCCCAATACGACCGTCAGACACAACCAAGGCGTCAACACGAGCTTCCAGTGGTCATCCGATTATGACCTAGGCGACAGAGCGCCACAGCCTCTTCATGCTCTGGGGGCAGGTTCACCATATGCCGTTGCGCCGTACACTGGCTGGGCCGTTTGTGATGTCAGGCTGGGGTAACTGTCTGGGTATGTCGCTGGTGTGGGATCCCATCGTGGAGGAGTCGCGGTCGGTGGATGATGGCTCAGAGGCGTGTGTAGACCACTTGTTCCATAACCTCCGCTTCGAGTGTCGTAGCTTGAAACTGCTGGCAGAGGTGTTGTGTTGATACGTAAAGGCGGTTGTTGAGGGCTGTGGTGACGGAGTCCGGGACTTAATGTGCGAGAGGCTGCTGCAGAGTATCCTGGAGGTGCCGTTGTGTATGGTGTCCAGCTAGGCTGTGAGCCGGAAAGTGATCGTGGTGAGGGTATCGAGTCGTGATGCTGAGGAAGAGAGTATTGTGGGTGGGCGTCAGGGTGTATTGGGGCCATGCCCTGTCCTGGAGGCGTTGGCAAAGGTGCATAATGTCCGTTAGGCTGGCTGATCATGCTGGGCGGTCCTACAGTACTGCTGGGGCTGACACTGTACTTTCCAATAATCTTCTTGAGGGCAGACTCCAGAATCTTCCAGGGAAACACCTTGACGTCCTTCTCGATATTGCGGGGTTTGGGGTTGGGGAAGCCCATGATGATCTTGAAGAACTCCTCGCTGTCGGGCTTAGCCTTGGACACCGTCTGGGGGTGGAATCCTTCCAGGTTACGGCGGATACGGTTCTTCTCCTCGACACTGAAACGGGCTGGCGCGGCAACAAGCTGCTCGAGAAGATAGATAGTGTCGACCGATGTGACATAACACTCGCCCTTTTCAGCCCACCATATGCAAGAAATGCAGATGCTGTTAGGTGGTCGGTCGTTGACGCTTACCGATTGACAGGTGGCGTTGACGGTTGATCCCTTTTGTGTCTTGCGGAAGAGGACGATCCGGCGACGATTGGCCCATTCCTCTGAGGTCCAGTTCTCAGCCATCGTCTCCAGCTTACCAGCAATCTTCAAAATTGCTTTACCGGAATAGAGAGAGATAGGGTGATAGTTGGAGTTGTTGCCAGGGTTAGCAGCGATAGTGCTTGTTCGAACTAGTTGGGGGGCGCCGTTAGAGTGAGACGGTGATGACATGCCGAGAGGCGTCAAAGGTGGACGTCCAACCATTGAAGCATCCAAGCCTGCCGGTCCTCTCCCTGTGCTGCCCAGTGTACTCGGATAAGGACTCCATCCTGCCGTCGGGCGGCGATGGTAGTGAGGGTCCGTGAAGCTTGTGCTTCGGCTATAAGTGCTGATCATGTCGTTGTTTGCTTGCGGGAAGGTACTGGCATATTGTCCCTGCTGCGGAGGATATCCATAGGTATTTGTACCGGGCTCTGCTGGTAGTTGAGGCTCACTTTTAGGTGAGGTACTCGGCTGATCAATAGTAGGGGCAGGTGCTGTGTCCTCATGCTTAGGCATCTTGGTTGACCTCGTGATGTCATCCCCGGACCCTTCAAGATACTGAAAAGTACCAACGGGAATGCGAGAAATTTCGTCCCCTGAAGGGCCGTCCAGGACGAGTGACAATGGCACATTGCTGCTTTGACAGTTTGTGACCAAAAATTGAGGTGCGTCTCCGCTGCAGCTGTAGATAAAGCCAGTACTGTCTTGCAGGTCTCGAGAGACATCTTGGGCAGAGCACTTTTCAGATCCAAACAGTAAGGAGAATTGTGGCATCGGTGTCGATAACGAGAAAAGGTCATATTGTGATGAAAGCTTGACATAAACCTTGGTGCCAAAGACACCTGTTGGTGGTTGGCATGATAGAACAGTTGGTGCTGGAGCAATGCCCGTAGGCATAGCATATGCTACGGCTGCATTGTTGTTGGCGAAAGACTGCTGGTTCAGCTGAGCAAACTTGTCGGACTGTTGTTGAGTTGGGTAGTTCTGTGCTGGGTATTGTTCGTAGCCTGCATCTTGGTATCTTGCCACATCGTAGCCAGCTGTTGTAGTGTTAGTGAGACTCGGTTCAAGAATTGTATCAGAGGCCATTTTCCAGTGAGTCAAGTCCAGCATAAACACTGTTCGGCGCGCGGCAACTCGTCATATCTCGTAGGAGTCAAGTACAACCTTCAACTTACCATGCATAGAAGGCAGCTGGGCCTTAGTGTAGGTTGCCATCTCCAAAAGCCTAGGAGGGGAGTCCCCTCTTGGGTCTCCTCCTCCGGTCTCTGCTCGGGCTGCTTCCTCGTAGCGAAGCGCGATAGTGTCAGGCGATTCAAGCCTGTCGTCAACTCCGACGATAATGGGCTTTTGCGGATGGTAGTCGGGCTATTGGAGTTCTTGATGTCAGTGTTTGAAGTCCCGAAACACTATGGAGACGAGACGTTTGTTGAAAGACAAGCAGATGTCGATAGAGGGAGACAAAAGAGAAACGCTGTGCAGGCCTATGGGCGGCGGCGAAGAACAAAAGGGATCTGTCGTGTCACGGGAGTGCTGGAACAAGGTCTAAGTTGCGACTCACCTCGAAAAGCTTGTAGGGAGGACACTGGAACTTGGCAGTAGACATCCAAGCTGTCAACAAGGGAGGATGATGGGAATTGGGTCTATTCAGGGCGACTCGAGAATGTAGGTCGGTTGTCTTGGACAGAAAGTGGTCGCAGTCGTAGTTAAAACCAGGTCTGGACGAGGTCTTATGGGTCTACCAAGACAGTGATCTCTGTACAGGTCTTGACTCTCGGAGATTTGATCTAACACAGGGCATGCAGCAGTATGCAGTAATGATGTTGTTGAATGCTTGGTATTGTCGGTCAGGCTCTCCCTTAAATTGCTTTTGCGTGCTGGAGGTGGCGCTTTGAAACAGATGAAGTGGATGGCGGGGATCCTACTGGCGAATCTGAGAGGGGTAGTCGTGGGTTCCAATCCAGTCCAGAGACACTTGCATTCCAAGAAAAGGGCGGAATATGTTGCCCTTGGAAGCAAAGGGTTTCCTGGGCAAAGGGAGGACGATAAGCTGGGGAAGTGAACTCTTTGACGCGGGAAGAAGTGCTCAGGTATGCGTGGTAAATTTGGATCAAAACACGCCGAGGAATAATAACAGAAGATAGGTTACAGAGACATGTAATGTTGTGCCTGAAGAATGTTGTGTTAGTCTTGATGAGGGTTCTGGAAACCGTTGTCAGGTCATATTCTTAGTTGCACATCAACGGCAACGATGGCGTTGTTTTGCCACGAAAGTTACTGGCTTGAAGAAACACCAGTTCATGAAATCAAGAAATTCGTACCTTGCAGACTTGAGTTCCAATAAGTGATCAACAGGAACAGGGTGAGACTAAGGGTCAAGCTGATGTCTCCAAAGCCGTTGTACGAGATATACAACTGCAAGGGCGCTTGAGCCTGTTTATGGTCAGAACAACTTCACTAAGCGATGCTTAAGGGTGTTAGACTCGCGAGATCCCGTAAACCTATGGATCTGGCTTGACTTGGAGTGGATAAGGCGTGGAGGAAAGACAGACAAACGGGTAGATGATTCAATGCGGGTGTGAGTCGGTTTAGACTTGGAGAAAGCACTGGCCGTGAATGCCGATGTGAGTGTTGGTGGCAGAAGAGGGAGACGAAGTACGAAAGACCATTTCCTTTTGGGAGGACTGGACAGTGCATGCAAGATATTTGCCCTGCGTCAAGAGGAGATAATGATGATTCAGATGTCTCTTGTGAAAGTATTCGGCCAAAGGGCAGGGAGGCAAGGGAAAAAGGGCGAAACAAAACCAGTAGCTAGAGCTTATGGATTGAGGTAGGTATCTATTCCATCCCTTCCATTACAATAAGCCAATGAAGATGAAGAAGCCTTCAGCTAGGAGAGAAATGGGGACGAGGTGCCAGGGTAGGGGAGGAAGAGAGAAAGTGCGTCGCCTGGCTGCTTTTGGCCTTGGACATTGTCAACTCGAGTCTGTTCAACCCTTGCTTTTGACGATCCCACCCCCACTCGCCTATCTAAAAAAGTAGCTCAGAGGCGAGGGAAGAACAATGTGCATACGGATACATTTGGAGTCAGATAGCAATAGCGTTGTCCGCGCAGCGCAGAGTAGTGCAGTGCAGATGGGGCTAAGCTAGGCAAGGTAAACGCAATGCTTGAGGGAAAGGTCATGGATGTGACCTGCGGAGGCTAGGAATCAACCACCTTTGGCCGTTATGCCAGATCCTCGACTGTCTCAAAGCCTCCTGCAAGGGTGACGGCAGCGTCAACTGGTGGGGAGGAGACATCATGGGTTCGGGAAATGGTGGAGAAGCTTGATCTAAGTTGTTTCTGTGTGCCAGGTGCTAACCCATCCGCAGGAGGCATGACTTGAAGACTGAATGAAAGACTCCATCATCTGCTACACAAACAAGATCTTTGCTTCCTCACCATTCACCCACACACATCCCGAAGTCTTCAGAGCCCTGCCGCGATGCAAGGTGGTATAGACAGACACCGTACATCCGTGGTAGAAGGCACTATGGCAAGCCAGGGTACACCCCTCTTCGACAAGACGTCGCAGGCCACTCATGAACAAGAGACCTGGGGCAAGGAGGCTTGAGAGCAGGAATCAGAAGTAAGGAGAAGAGGCATACTAGCCTCAAATGGACATCTCTCTTGGAAGCATGCCCCGGCTCAGCTGGAGCACACCGAAAAAAAGAAAAAGGAACAATTTGGGAGCCCAAGCAAAAATAACAAAAAAAGAACGGTTTGTAAACGTGCCTGAATAATATGGATGTGTGCGTAATGCGCGTGCGGTAGTCTATCGGGAGGCCTAGGGAGGGGTGTGTCGTTAGCCATGTAAGCCAGTGATTGGTTGTCTTTCGAAAAGGAAATCAATAGTGGTGTGCAGGGGTGCCGGTAGTGCGCGGTGCACGGCGCAGGCGGCATCAGCTGGGTATCCAGGGCAAGCCAAGATCGTTCTAAGGGCTGAAGAGCTTTACCCAGTAACAGTTATGGACCTCAAGGGAGCAAAGGCCTAAGTGAGGGTCCAGTCCAAGAAAGGTCGCGGTTCTAACCGTACTGGGTCCGCTCCCGTCTTCCCGTCTCCATTTGTTTTCTCTTTTGAAAGCTCCTCTAATAAGGGCGGCTAGGGTGCCTTGCTTGTCCTGTGCAGTAGCACAGGCCAGATCAGAGTCCTAACTCGTCTCCGACTTGTGCAAAGAATGTTCTGTCCGCACCGGGTCAAGGTGTATATGCAGAAGGAGATCAGAACAAGTCGTACTCACTCACCTCCAAAAGCAAGTCCGAAAAAGAGATCTTCGGGTACCGAACCACCGAAATTCCAGATCACCGTAGAACGAGATTGCGATGGGGCTCGACGTGCAGCTTGGTCTCCAACAGCAATGTCCCGATGATCAGTCTGCCGAAAGAGTAACTTCTCTGTATCAAACAACCACCACGTACATTAATCGACCGTATTCGCGTCAACGACCCAACTTTGTAGGCCACCACTTCGGTCGCTTCGCCAAGGTGAAAATGCCCCAACAAGCCTGAATAGGTTTGTAATCGTCAGCAAATCTGTACCAAGCAAGATACTGGTGCCTCGGGAGTGCTGAAGTTCCGTGTCGCTGAGCAAGGGTTAAGCCTAATTAAAATGAGATCCCGGTCTTCTGTCGTAGGATGATCAATGATCGCCTTCCCGGCACTCTTCTGAGTCAAATCTGTCAACTCCATGTCAATTACTTCATCTCCTTTTTGCTTTTTCTGGTCGCAACTGCAAGTAGCTTTTGGCCGCCTCCGGGGATGCTTCCGTGTTATGACAATAATGACTTTTCAATCTTCACAAATCTCTCATAACCGACTCAACGCCCACCGGCGTTTTTGAGCAACTTTTCCTCGTTCGGGAAAAGGTACGGAGGAACGACCGGAAAGATCAAATAATGCAAGGGCGAATGAGGCACATAGGTTGCAGATGGTTGTTGAAGTTTCTCACACTGGCGTCAAAACCCCTCGCAGTCGACAAGTTTGGCTGCACATCAAGACGCCACTCCCGTCGACTCTCGGGCGACAGAATGGATTGGGATCGAAAAGTGCTCTCCATTACGCCGTGCGGATTGAGGTGAAGGAAGGAATAAATAGCCAGAGAATAACAATAATGGACAAGCACTAAGAATGAGGTTATAATAAGCATACCTTGATTTGACAGATTGTGGTAACTCTAAGTCTGAGTCTAGGATTCCTGAGTCCGAGTTGCCCTGTCTCGGTATGCACTGACACAAGCGATGGGTCCTCACACGAATAGGTTCGATGCGAGGGCGAGAGTCGTAAGTATAGGCCTTGTTTGGATGAAGATGGCTGTGTCGGAACTCCTTGTCAAGTTGTTTCTTTATTCGGATCGAAGAATATTCATTAATACTCGGGCGGGAGTGTCACTTAACTTATATGATCTTCTCGCTTTCCAACAAGAGGCATTGGCTTTGTGTTCCCATCATAGCAATTTGCATATAAGAATGCGATTGCATGGCCGACCGTAGCTGTTGTCAAGCATCGCGCAGCGATACAGACAGGGATGTTCTGTACGAGCCATGTACTCAGCATCCAGCTAAACATCTGATAAGAGAACGGAGTGGCTTGCGAGCCATTTCATGGCTCTACCCGAGAAGTCATAGGGGGACTCAGTACGTAGAATAACGGCTCCCAGTGGTGAAGAACATAGATGTACAGTGCAGTATGTATTGCCTTCCAACCGCTTGGTACGCCAGTAGCTAGGGGGTGGGTCGCGATGATGAGGATGATGATACTTCTAGGGTTCGGTTCAACAGAATATTTGAGAGAACGCCACCTCGGCTCTTGAAGGGCTCCCAGACATTCAACGGGAAAGCCAAGGGAATATCACGCTGCATATCGTGCCAGATGTTTATCATAACTCACAGTACGAGCCTTCTGGACAAAGGACGAGTCGGCTTTGTGAAAAGGTGCGGACATGCGATCTGCACAGGGGACCAGGATCCTCCCTTCAGGGGTGTACCAAAAGCTGTAGGGATCGCCCATGCTTGTAGCGTTTAATAGCTCAGGCCTGCTGATCAACCGAGCGACCAAGCAAGACTAGGTTCTAAGATCCTGCAGTTGCTATTGGGATACTAGCGAAAAAGATGGCGCGCGGGCCGCTCGCAAGGGAGCCGCCCTACAGCGCAAAGTTTCTGGTGAGCTTGTACTAATCCAAAGATTGGATCATGGAGACCAGTTAAACATTTGACGGAGGGCTTTTGTTCTGTTGTCGCAACCCTTTCGAGGCAGCGAAGTTTGATATTGATTAGCGCATTATTCCCTGCCTAACCTCCCCACCACCCACTCAAGGCCGAATCTCGTCGGTCAATAGAGAAATTCGAGGTCGAAGGTGTATATCTTGGTGCAACACAAGGATGGCTTCTCATAATAAGAGTTTCGACAATTTTCCCAGAGAATACTCACTGCACTCAGTCTCAGGATGATAATAAAGTCATGTGGCAAAAGTCCGTCAGGGTGGTTCTGGATGCCTTGATCCAAACCTCTGGCTTGGGTTTTGACGAGATGAGGCGGTTACCCGAAGCGAAACCAGGAAGTAATCTGTT